AAACTCATTGACCACACTCACAACATCCTCAAAGCAGCAGAAACCAGACATGCATCAGCTACATGTGAAGAGGACTATGTACAGCAGGCCCTGCTCCCCTGGTAGTGCAGAGCAGCAATGCCAATTCAATGCCCCCCTCCTGACTTCTGAAAGCTACCAGCCACCAGTCCTCACAAATCCATGCCCCTACAAACCAGGTCTAACCCCCATACCCTCCCCTCTACACCCTCACTGTCTTGCCAGAGAGTGCCTCTGGCTGTGGCTCCCAACAGCTATGAATGCACAAGTAGCAGTGGGGACAGAACAAGGTGGCTCACACCCCATCCCAGAGGAACAACTGAACCATATCCTGGAAGTCATTGGGGCCTTGTGGGCAGAAAGAACCAAAGCATTTGTGGATCTCAAAAATCCCAGAGATGCTGCCATCTTTGCATGTTTAACCACAGTTTTCTACTGTGTAGCCAGACTCAGAGAGTTCACAGTAATGTCAATTAAGCATTTTGACCCAGTGAAGCACATCACTTGAGCAGACTTGAAACATCTCCATGACCTCAATGGCCTACCAGTCACCAAATTCTGCATTCCTTGCACCAAAACCTCCCCACGAGGAGAGGACATTCAATGCGCACCTGTGGAAGGCATCACAAACCCCATCGAAGCGCTAGAGAACCACTTTCGAGTCAACCCCGCTGATCCCAGTGCATATTTATTTGCATGGAAGCACCCCACAGCAGGCCCATGCCCACTATCCAAATCAGAGGTCACCAAGTGCATCTCAGTGCTAGCCTCCAAACATAATCTTGCAAACCTCAGAGGACACAGTCTAAGGATAGGTGGCACACTTCACTACTTGCTTCGAGGCATTCCCTTCGATGTCGTCAAGACAATCGGGCATTGGGCAGGAGACTCCTTCACACTATACCTATGTCAACATGCAATGATACTAGCACCCTACCTCAACGATAGGTCCACTCTCCTGGAACACTTCACTGAGATACACTATGTCCCCAGTGCGCTATAATCCAGTTTTTACCCACACAAGTAAGCAGCCATCTCCTTTTTCCAGGGCTCTGAGCTTCGCCAGTTAGCGTCGCCGGCTCCTAACCAATGGGTCACAGCTCACTCATCGCCTTCAGATACAGTGCCTCCTCCGAGCTGGAAAACCCTTCGGGTTTTCACCCTATCCCCTTTAGTCTCCCTAGATACCTTCCCCGTTTCTCTGGCTTGTGAGTCTCGTCGTTAGCACACACCCCTACTTCCCCCTGTTCACTAGCATAGCGTTGAAGCACATGGAGGAAAGCTGCTACACCGACGCCATCCTCGCCGGTTTCGTTCGCTTAGATACGAACCTCGGGAATAAAAGCAGGACTTCCGCGCTTTGCCATCGATGCGGATTTGACTCTATTGCCACGGGTGTCACTTTCCTTGGACAATATGTTGTGGGACATGTTTCCTGATAGTCGTCACTCAACAAGAAAGAGTCAGCACCAACAGTTTCCCTGCCTCACAAGATAGACTCTACATGGTCCATGAGTGTCCGTGCTGGAGGCGGTTTTATGATCTCGACGTCTGCTTCTGGGACAGTAGCCTGCGAAGCCATCCCAGCAACAGGTCGTGATGGTATTTCTCAAAAGATTGTCAGATGTGCTAAAAGATTCGCAAACGGAGAGCCCTCGGATGGTATCCCCCTGAGTCACCGGACATCACTGCCAGCTTCTCAATACGAGTGGAAGGGGAGCGCTGTCTCACGGATAATATTATCGTCTCGTAAGCGACCCCAAGACTCGAGATGCGAGCGACGACGCGAAATATCACTTGCAGCGTTACGATTCTGGGAAGATGGAGAGCGCTTTTGGTAATTTTTGGTACTTAGAACAGCAGGACAGCAAGAACGAACACTATGAACGCGGTGATCTCCAACGACCATGCTTGAGGAATCTGATTGCCGGAAGAGGAGGTGGACCTGAGCTGGCAGTCATGTAGTATGAGTCCAATACGTCAGCGGTCGAGGCTGGCTTGGAGTTGTCTGAGGACCCGACGAGTGATACGCCAGAAGCTCTGGGCGAGAGTAGCGACAGAATCAGAGGCCGAGGAGTGCTGTATTTTTTTGATCCAAGTGGTGTGAAGACAGCAGGGTGACGAAGCCACCTCCCAGCTGCATCAGTGCGAATGCTTAACCTGCTGCGGGACCCGGTGCAAGGTGAGCGCTTGAGCCAGTAGCATGTGTGTTCCACGGGGGTAACCAAGGACTCAATTCCGTCGATGGAAGAACCAAATCTACGAGCTTTTAGCAGACACTCTGAGTTTCGGCAGACGGCAATCTCCTATGTCCGACTTGAAGGGCAAGAAAGTGGGTTCCAGGGTGTCGAATGAGTCGCTACAGTCAACGAATGGCGGACAATCATTGATGCACGTTTCGGACAATGCGATGAGTTCCTTCCGGTGGTTTCGCAACTTGGAGGGAACGTACATGTTTATGCAAGTGGTCGTCAAAAGGCATGGAGGCTTCCGCTGGGATTTTTTATTTATGATCATTCTCGATGTACTCTACTCAGCCTTCAGCCTTGTCTGTGCCGACCTCAGGCGGATATGACAAATGTGCTTTGGGAGACAAAAGTCTCGCACGACGCTGGATGCTCGATGTCCTAGAAAGCAGATCAGAGAAGAACAATGCAGGATCTGGTGTGCGTGGGTCTAGCGTGAGGTTGTGAGTCCAGAGATGCGAAGACGGTGGTCAAGGCAGCTTCGAGAAAGGCATTAGTTGACGTGGGTGGGTTAGGATTCCATTGAATACTGAAAGGTGTTCACCCAGCAGTTCGGAAGCAGAGTGGAAAGTCCCTGAAAAAGCGTGCAGACTAATGCCCAGATCATGGAACCACCGCCAACACAGACACTTGCCATCCGAGGGTGACGTAACCCAGCAATGCATAGGAAAAGTCGGGCCGCTGCTTCAGAACACTACTGCAAATACCAGTCCCTTCGTTGACTTGTACTCTATCTCTGCACCTCCCATAGAATCTACCACCAATCTTCCTCCTACCAGCAATGCTCGAGCCCTACAATCTCATCGCAGTACTCAAAACGTCTCCTGCGGAGGCACAGGCACAGCTTCGCGTCGTTTCAGTGCAATTGTCTGTCTGTTCCCGAGGTTCTTGCCTAGCGAACGAAACTGACGAGGATACCGTCAGTGTAACGGCCTTGTCCTACCCTCCGCCTCAGATTCTGCACTCACGGTTTTGCTCTCATGGTGCTCAAGACAGTCGAATTGCATCCCCAGCCACGCGGCTTTCCGTGAACATACTTCCTACTTCCGAGTACGTTTGTCACTTCGTATTTATGCGTCGCCTCGTGTTTCCATATTGTCCATATCCGCAATACTCTTCTGTTTCCACACATGTACGGGCTGGTCGCGCCTGCCCATCTGGTATCGATACTCACCCGGCCACTCCTTTTCATGCGTTGCCTCGTGTACCTCGTTCTCGCACTTTGGAATACGTGTTTCCCTGTGCACGTATGTTCTTTTTTTCTTTCTCCGGGCATGCAAAATACATGTCAGGTGAATCGAGTGCCTCATAATCTCGCCTCTGGACGACAGTACACCGTCGCAGAGCAGGAGAGAGCCACATACATTTGAAACCGTGATGTGACGAGCACGTACCGACATCAAGGAATCACGGCACACTTAGCGGTCTTCCGACCATCTCTTGATACGTTCAGTGGGTCTTTTCTAGGGGCAATGCGTAGCCTCTGTTGTGCACTTCTCTACACACAGCACACAAGAAGGCCGATAATACGCATGCTCCTTTGATAAGATGCGCTTGGTAGGCAATGCTACTGGAATAAACCCAGATTTCGCCTGGTCCACGTTCGAGGCGGCGTGTTTGAGTGATATAAGTTATGGGATTGGCACTATTGTAGAAAGCATTGTCAAGGGTACAAATGCGACACAGGAGTTCTGAGTGTAATCTAGCAGACACGCTTCCACCTCAGTTCATATGTACAAGGCATGTTATGAAGTCTTGGGGACTCGATCAGCTCCACGAACTTGGCAAGCAGATTGTATGAGTAGCAATATGAGGATGCTCAGCAAGCGCACTTCAGTCTTCAAGCGAAGGGCAGTGGTCCGATTTCGCCGAAAAGGGCACTGTCAGCGACAAGTAAGCACCGCCTTTGTACTGGCCACTGGAGAGGGGTACTGGTTAAAAAGCCACCGGTCGGGGTCGGTGGCGCATCTGACATGGGAGAAAGTGCTCAGGGTAGAGGCATGGCCCGTAGATACCCTAGGCTACAGCATCCTACCCTCTCCCACAGATGCCCACAAACCGTCAGGTGACTGCCAAGCTCCCTGAGCCCATTTCCAATCCGCGTGATTTGCTTAGGAAGTACAGCGTCACTTTTCCAGAGGATTCGCATCTTTCGGTGAGTTTCCTATCGGTCTGCTGCGGTGTTATACGCATTTACCTGCGTGTAGTGTTGTTCTTCATAGTTCTTCATACCCACATCCAACATTGCCTGCAATAAACTCTGTCTTTACCTGTGGGTTCTTTTGCGCTGTTCGAATAGCCTCGCTGATTTGAGTAGCGTTCAACAGACGCTCAAGGTTGCTCACCTCGTTTCTTTGTCAATTCCAAGGATAACGCACGGTTCAACTGTTCCTGTTTTGTTGCAGCGAAGGCAGAACAACTTGCACGCCGTGAATCCTCCACATCTTAGCGCTTTGCTTACCGAAGTTGGGGCAATTAAGCGCCTGATCGTGGGAACATTTAGTGGTTTCAACAGACGACACTTCCCATAGACGAGAAAAGCTGGAACGCTATCCTTCAGGTCAAGATGGCGGGGATATTGCCCTCCCTGATCGGGCGAGGGCCCTGTATGAGAGATTCCTGCAAGAGCATAAGGTCGGCGACTTGAACGAGGCGATTGATTTGTGCCATGCTGCTCGGAAACTCCGACGATTCGGGAATAACGATCGGTCTTCATTAATCCACAACCTGCACCGAGCAGCTTTGGAACTACGTCCCTCTGGACATCCTCTTCGGTCTCTATCGCTCCACGGTCTTGCCCTCTGTCTATCTAATAGATATGACAACCAGGGGCTAGTTGCTGACTTGGAAGCAGCCATCATGCTCGGACGTGCTGCACTTGAACGCTGTCCATCAGGGCATCCTAATCGTGGTGTAACTTTCTACAATCTCGCTTGCGACCTTAGGAAGAGGTTTGTGAAACAGGCTGGGATCTGCGACTTGGATGAAGCGATTAAGTTGCACCGAGGAGCTTTGGAACTACTTCCCTCCGGACATCCTCTTCGGTCTTTATTGCTTCATGGACTTGCTCTCTGCCTGTCTAATAGATATGACAAGCTAGGGGTATTTGATGACTTGGACGAAGCCATCACGCTTGGACGTGCTGCACTAGAACTCTGTCCACCGGGGCATCCCGATCGTGGTGTATCTCTCTACAATCTCGCTTGTGACCTCAGAATGAGGTTCATGAAACAGGCTGTGATGCGCAACTTGGAGGAGGCGATTGACTTGCTCCGTGCAGCTTTAGAACTGCATCCCACTGGACATCCTCTTTGGTCTTTATCGCTCCGTGCGCTCGCTCTCTGTCTGTCGAAAAGATATGACCATCAGGGGCTAGATGCTGGCCTGGAAGAAGCCATTATGCTCGGACGTGCAGCACTAGAGCTCTGTCCACCAGGGCACCCTGATCGTGGCATATCTCTCCACAATCTCGCTTGTGACCTCAGAACGAGGTTCACGAAACAAGCTGTGACGCGCGACTTGGACGAAGCAATTGAGCTACACCATGCAGCTTTGGAACTACATCCTCCTGGAGATCCCCTTCGGTCCTTATCACTCCGGGAACTTGCTCTCTGCCTGTCTAATAGATATGACAAGCTGGGGGTATTTGATGACTTGGAAGAAGCCATCACGCTTGGACGTGCTGCACTAGAACCCTGTCCACCGGGGCATCCCGGTCGTAGTGTATCTCTCCACAACCTTGCCTGTGTCCTCAGGAGGAGGTTCATAAAACAGGCCGTGATGCGCGATTTGGAGGAAGCGATCGAGCTGCACCGCGCAGCTTTCGAACTACGTCCCGCTGGGCATCCCGAACAGTCCTCAACGTTCCATGAACTTGCTCTTTGTTTGTCACACAGACATGATAAGCAGGCCTTAGCCAATGACTTGGAAGAGGCCATCGCGCTCGGACGTGCAGCACTGGAGCTCTGTCCACCGGGGCATCCCAATCGTGGCGCGGTTCTTTGCAACCTTGCTTGCGACCTTTGGAAGAAGTTTCAGCAACATGCTGACATTCCCGGGCTGCACACGACGAATTCCCTTCACCAGGCTGTGTTGGTAGTCCGTCCAACAAGCAAGGCTGACCTCGCCTCTTCCCTTTTCGAGTTCTCAGTACACCTCTGGGACAGATTTCAGAAGCAGTCCATGATGACCGACTTGGACGACGCCATTTGTCTCGCAACGTATGCTTTGGAGCTCCGATTACCTCACGAAGTTGTTTCCGTTGGAGCATGGGTTCAGAGGCTTGCACAGGGGGCAAACTCGCACGAACCCGTCATGTTCGACCGGGCGGCAGACAATCTGTGTGACCTTGCGAAATACCATAGGGCCAGATTCCACACTCAGCATACAATTGTCGACCTGAACGAGGCCATCACGCTTTACCGATATATGCTGCAACTCCGCCCGACTGGGCATCCTCGTCACGCTTCGTCCCTTCACGACCTTGCACAGTGTCTAGCAGACCGGTTTCACCAACAGCCCAAAGCAGCTTCCCTGGACGAGGCTATTGCACTTGAACAAAAAGCCCTGCAGTTACTCGTACGTGGAGATCCTGACTATGACGTATCTCGGTGCTGTCTTGTGGCCTATCTCCAAACGAAGATCAGCTCACAACTTACTATGATGTCCCCGGACGCCCCAGGTGTAACTCACCTTGATGTTAAGCAAGTCATACGTAATGTTGCATTTGAAACCCTCAAAACTGTGCCAACCAGGCTGCTGTACACACCTACTGGCGTCCTGTACAACCGAGATGCGCAGGTGTCGCATTTTATGCGCAGTCAACAATACAGGCAGCTGGAGTCTCTATGCACAACATGCGGCGGGGACCAGCAAATGGAACTCATCCATACTTGTGTTTCGAGACACTTTCAGTATGTCACGTTTTCACACCGGTGGGGTGAAGACGAGCCATCATTGCGCGACATCGAGGGCCGCGCGATATATGATATGTCAGCAACGGGAGCCTTGAGAAAGCTCCAATTCTTTTGTGCTGTTGCTTGCGAGCGGGATTACTTATGGGCGTGGAGCGACACGTGCTGCATCGACAAAGATAGCAGTGCCGAGGTGCAAGAAACGGTGGGGTCAATGTTCGCGTGGTATCGACAGTCCGCTTTGACCATCGTATACCTTTCTGACGTTCCTGACTCCGGCTCACTCGGAGACAGCGAATGGTTCAGACGCGGATGGACCCTGCAAGAACTACTGGCCCCCAAACGCATACTATTCTACACCCAAAACTGGTCGCTTTACAAGAACCTCGCATCTTCGAACCATAAAGCCAATGACGTTGTGCTGGAAGAGCTGACGAGAGCAACTGGTATAGAGTCCCAGTTCTTGTCCGACTTTTCTCCGGGTATGGATGACGCACGTTCGAGATTGCAATGGGCGTCATTGCGTCGTACCACCCGGGCTGAAGATATCGCTTATTCACTCTTTGGAATATTTAATCTCCACTTGCCCGTTCTGTATGGGGAATCTGCTGAGAACGCGCTTGGCCGTCTCCTGGCCACAATCATATCGCAGTCTGCAGATATCTCGGTTCTGGATTGGGTCGGAGAGCCGTCACTGTTTCACAGTTGTTTCCCTGCTCACATCACCTCGTATCAAACACTACCATCGCCTCGACCCAAACCTTACCCAGAAGAACAGTCACCGGCGACGAGTCATTGGCCCTCGTCCTTCTCAGAACTGATAAACCTTTGTGGCTCACTTGCTACGTCGTTCCTCCCCCAATTTCTCAGTCGTTCCCCGACACCGTCAAGCATCGCCCGAACATCGGATTCATACGCACCAAGTGGCGTGTATGATTTCCGCTCACTCACCCGAGCACCCCTTCCCCGATTTCTCGATCGCTGCCTTATACTGCCATGTATCGCCCATCGCGTTACAGCGGTGCAGCTGACAAGGGAAGATCCATCGGCACCGAGTTACACGTACAAACTCCAGGCATCCGGTTTAAGGCCACTTGAGATCGCACTCCCAGACAAGCTAGAAAATGCGACAAGACTGCACTTACATGGTGCTCTGCAACTTGTTCGCCCTTGGCATTCGAACTTGCTCGGTCCATCTGCCGAGCTAGACGCCATGACTGAAGAACAGCTGCTTATTACACTTGGGAGGCCATTTAACGCTCTTCTATTGAGTCAACTACCTCACAACGAGCACAAGAGGATCGCGTCTTCTACCCTCATTACTGCTCAGCCGATAGACCGAGCTAGCATCCGGAACAGTAGAGCTAGGATATTCAATATTGTGTAGATAGCCACGGCGTTACGATAACTGTAACATGTATGTGCGACTTCCAAACAGCCGAAGGCGTACCACAGGCACAGGGTGATAATAATATAATATCCCTCGTGGATGACATACGTAGGAGTAACATAAGGGACACCTTCACGGTACGGGGTGAGTCAGCGAGGCTAATTAAACAGTGCAAAAAACTTGTAGGTCAAGGTACAGAGCAACCGCGGTGATCTGGAGTGTCGGTGAGATCAAAGTGTGGAGGAAACTGTGATGGAAGGATAGGTACTTCACCGGTGCGAAGGAGCTCACCTGCGGCCCAGTGGTGGATGGATCATTGTTGTCTGCGAAAAGCACAGGAAAGTTGCCGCCCATGCCGTGCCCTGTCACTCTTTGTATTCTACACACGAAACTGGTCCCTTCACAAGAACCTCACGTCTTCGAACCATAAAACCGACGTCGCTGTGCTGGAAGAGCCGGAGACGGCAACTGGAATAGAATCCCGGTTCTTCACCAACTTTTTTCCAGGTTTGAATGATGCCCGTTCGAGACTTTGGCAATGGGCGTCTTCGCGTCGTACCACCCGGCCTGAGGACTATCGCCTACTCACTTTTTGGGATCTTTAATCTTCACCTACCCGTTCTGTATGGCGAATCTGCTGAGGGCTCACTTGGCCGCCTCCTCGCCGAAATTATATCGCGGTCTGGGAACATCTCGGTTCTGGATTGGATCGGAGAAGTGTCACCATTTCATAGCTGTTTCCCTGCTCATATCACCTCATTCCAAATGCTACCATTGCCTCCACCTCAACCTAACGCAGATGAAAAATCACTCACAGTGAGTTCGCAGCCCACGTCACCACTCGGAGTACCGCGAAAGTTGCGTGGCTCACTCACTACGTCGCGCCTTGCCGAGTTTCTCAGCCGTTCCCAGACACTGTCAGTCATTGCCCAGCGTTTTCCGGCGATCCCGCTGCACACTCCAGATTCGTACGCACCATGTGCCGTGTACGACTTCCACTCACTTCCTCAGGCGCCACTTCCGCTATTTATCAATCGCCGCCTTATACTACCATGTATCGCCCATCGTGTTACAGATATTCAGCTGAAAGGGACCGATATATCGGTACCGAGTTACACGTACAAGATGCAGGCATCTGGCCTGAGGCCACTTGAGATCGCACTGCCAGACAAGCTGGAAAATGCAACCAGGTTGCAAGGTGCTCTGCAGCTTGTTCGCCCTTTGCACTTGAAGCTGCTTGGTCCATCCCTCGAGCTAGATGCCGTGAGTGAAGAGCAGCTACTTTCTGCATTGGATAGGTCATTTAATGCTTTTCTCTTGACTCGATTACCTCATAACAAGCACAAAAGGATCGCGCCTTCTACTCTCATTACCTCTCGGCCCGTGAATCGAGCCAGCATTCTGAAAAGCAAAGCTAGTATATTCAATTTCATGTAGATAGTCATAGCGTCATGATATTGACCCTTGTACATACCCAGTTCACCTGCACAAGTACAACTGTTACAGCAGTGCATCGACTCGCACCCTACCCGGCCTAATGCTGGCTAACGCCGACGATGTTGGATGTCGTCTGCATCCGCTTATGCACCCCGAAGACAAGAGTAACCATGCAGGTACAGTTACGGAGCACACAGTACAAATTGAATGTGGAGGCGGGTAAGATACGCACGAACCGAGTGTCTCCATTCGATAATTGAATCGTAACTGGAGGGCGATGCGTGCAACGTAGACCATTTAGCTAGAACAGCTCCACCGTCATTCCTTCCACGCGCCCCCACGGTCTGAACGACGAACACACCATTTGAGTGGCAAATCACGACCACCAGTAGGCAAAATCCCTATGAGCTACTTACCTGCATGACTTCCGCAAGTACGCCCTTGTTAATCGCGGGGCCAGTCTCGACCTTTTTGACAGCCTCCTCAAGCAACCACTGCCTTAGCACAGAGCTAGGATGTGCAGCCATCTCCGCGCTTCGTCTCCAGCCCACTTGCCGCCGGTTTTCTCACATTCGATGTGAGCGGCATACGTATCGAGCCATGCGAGCCATTCTTTTGTCGCCTTACCCGAGTCTAGGCATTCAGGCTCCGGCGTTCCCCTGAGCAGTTCTGCAATGAATGTACCCAGCGTTATTGCGCCGCTGTTGTTGTCACTCCGAAGCATCCTCGGTCGGATGAGTTTCACTAGCTTTCTGACCGTACCTGTGGACATCAAGTTTCTGTTTCTCCATCATGTCCAAGAGAAGCTGGAAGATGGTGCGCTGAACTGACGGATTGACGCGGCTAAGTACAAGGCGCCTACGGAGCGCCATGCCATATTTAATGGAGCAAGCTGATTGGACAGTTTGGTCCATCGTAGATCCAATCTCTTCTACTTCTGCAGCGCACCATTCCGAAGTGGTCTCCTTGCTGACATTGTCAACCCAGCGTTTCTGTACAGCTTTATTAACAAGAGCAATTTCGGTGCCAATCAGTGGTGCGAGGTGGATGTCAATCAGTTCATGATACGCGAAACATGGTGTTAGGTTGCTGCTGCGGGATACCAATTAGGCAAAACAGCAAGGCTGAGAAGAGGCGACACATCCTGTAAGCATACCGGCCCTCTTGGTCGGAGCGGTTGCACTTGCGATGGGACTCAAAAGCATCCATAAACGCGCATGGTCCTGACACAAAGTGAAACACCAGCCCAGGTTTAGCACTACGGGCTTACTGTATCTGTTGAAAACCCAGCAATCGGTACACTGGGGGATCAGATAGCCACATCGTGATATAATGGGAAACTTGCTTTCTGTATTGATGATATCGTAGATGAAGCCATACGCCGGGACCATCCTGGCATTTCTCAGGGTCACTTTAAAGACCAGCCCTTTCCCCAAGCATCGCTGGCATTGAGATTGACACCGTCGCGCTCAAGAATGCGATTGACAGTCCATTCTCCAAAGATGCGGAGAGCTTCATAGTTGGCATACTGCTGTTCCCCACCGAAGAAAACCATTGCGCGTGAAGGAGGAGAAAGCGCTTCAAAGTTACCTAGCTACCTATCCGGATGAAAGTTTCCGCAACTCTCGTCGGCACACATGCTGTCTCAAGGCGTTCGCATACTACGCGCACTTCATATAGATAAACCAAAGCAAGAGACCGAGTGGTGAGGACACCCAACGCATGCATAGCTGCCCAAACATAATATCACGGGCACGGAAGACAGTAATGAAGGTATGCATACCTCGTGAACATAAATATTCGCGAATAGACGAGGCCATCAGTGCCTCGGTCGAAGGGCGTGCTCCCTTGAGCTGAACCTCGTATGTGGCGTCAAGGCCAGATGGGTCAGGCGTAATGACTGGAAGACATCAGGACCGACTATAATATGAAGTTCATGCACTTACGGATCATGGTTGATCATCCCTCACCAAGCTGGCTTGTCCAGACGCCAAACCGGTGGCCGCTGTACCTAAGTGACAAGGGAGTGACTTTCCCGCCACCTAATTGGTCCGACCCGTCAAGGAACATAAGAGACACGACCGCTGAGAATATCTACGAACTCCTGGCGGGCATTTCAAACCCGGTAGATGACAATACCTCTTCTTTGTCCAACTCGGGAAGCAGGAAAGTGAGTTTCAGAGTGTCGAATGCATTCCCACAGTCCAAGAGGGGCAAACAATCCTTGACGCTCATTTCGGCCAATGCGATGACCTCTCCGGTGATCATGTGGCTTGGGGACGCATTTTCGCAAGTGGAGGGCGTCGGACAAGCTTCAGCTAAGATCTTTGCTTTACGGTCACTCAATCACTTCTCAATTTGCTCGGCTTTTTCTGAGACGACCTGAGATGGGTCCAGCGGTGCATCATACGGAAACTCGAGAGGCATCAGGTTCACGTACGTACGAAAAAGTCTGTCTCGGGAGACAAGTCTCGCATGGCGCTGGATGCTCGGTGTCCTGACTCCTGGAGAGCACATTTGAGAAGAAGGTTGCAAGGCGTGTAGCGTGTGGGTCCAGTGTGAGCCTTTGTGTGGCAAGAGATGCGAAGAAGGCAGTAAAGGCAGCTTCGAGAAAGGCACTTTCAGTATTTTACCTGGGCCTATACGTAGGACAAAACCCGAAATGAAGTTCAAAGTATTGTCAGATCGACAAAAGTGCCAATATGTCCTGGATTCTGAGGGTGTCGAAAAAAGCATGGTGGCCGATCCTGGAACCTTTTTGCTATATATGGGTCCACGGTGGCCGACCGCTGGTGTACTAAGTTGGTGATTAGTAAGTGAGCGCCTCCACATCTGCGTGACTTGCTCGAGCAGCAAAGCCGAATTTTCCAACCGACTTGCTTCGCACCTATTGGTAAGTTCCTATCGGCCCATCGCTGCGTTTGTGCACTGACGGCCATGTAGTGTTGTCGTTATCCACACCTCTTTCTTCATAAAGACACCCGAGATTGCCTGCTCCACACTCCCGGTCTTTACCTGTTCAGGCTCGACTTCTGCGCTGTGTAATTAACCTCGCCGATTTCAGTAGCATCCTGACATTCAAGATCGCTTGCCTAGTTTCTTTGTCGTTTCCAAGGGTAACGTAGGGTTCAACTGTTCCTGTCTTATTGCAACTGATCATGAACCTTGTGTGAAGGCAGAAACGTTTCCGCTGTGTATATCGTCCCGGTGTAACGGCATTCAATGGCTTCAACCGACGACGTATCCCGTAAACGAGAAAAGTTGGAGCGCTATCCCCCAGCGCATGATGACCGCGACGTTTTCCTCTTCAACCTGGCGGACGCCCTCTACGAGAGTTACCTCAACGATAGGGAAATCGACGACTTAAACGAGGCAGTCACGTTTTACCGCGCTGCTTTGGAACTCCGACCCGTCGAAAACGATACATATCGTCGGTCCACGTCACTCAACGATCTTGCTCGCTGTCTTTCGATTAGATATGACCATCAGGGGGCAGTCGACGACTTGGAAAAGGCCATTACGCTCGCACGTGGAGCACTAGAGCTCCGTCCGCCAGGGCATCTCCATCGTAATGTAACTCTCTGCAATCTTGCTGACACCCTCCGGAAGAGGGTCCAGAAACAAGCTATCATGCACGATTTGGATGAAGCGATCGAGCTACATCGTGCAGCTTTGGAATTACTTCCTTCTGTACATCATTATCGGCTGGCATCGCTCCGTCAGCTTGCTTTCTGTCTCAAATAGATATGAAAATCGAGGGGGAGTCGATGACTTGGACGAAGTCGTGAGACTCAGACGTGCAGAACTAGAGCTCTGTCCACGAGGGCATCCTGTTCATGGCGAATCTCTCCACAATCTTGCTTGTGACCTCAGGAGGAGGTTCGCGAAAAAGGCTGCGATCCGCGACTTGGAGGAATCGATTGTACTGCTCCGTCCAGCTTTGGAATTGCGTCCCTCTGGACATCCTCACCGGTTCTCAACACTCCATGAACTTGCTCTCTGCCTGTCGAATAGATATGACAAGCTGGGGACCGTCGATGACTTGGAAGAAGCTATTATGCGTGGACGTGCAGCACTAGACCTCCGGCCACCAGGGCATGCCAATCGTGACGAGCTTCTCCACCATCTCGCTTGCGACCTCAGAAAGAGGTTCGTAAAACAGGCTGCCATACGCGATTTGGAGGAAGCGATTGAGTTGCATCGCGCAGCTTCAGAACTACGTCCCTCTGGACATCCTGATCGGTCCTCGACCCTTAATGAACTTGCTTTCTGTCTGTCAATTAGATATGTCACGCTGGGGGGAGTCGATGATTTGAATGAAGCTATAAAGCTTGGACGTGCAGCACTAGAGCTCCATCCACCAGGGCATGCCAATCGTAGCGAATCTCTCCATAATATCGCTTGCGACCTCAGGAGGAGATTTGCGGAATAGGCTGCGATCTCGACTTGCAGGAGGCGATTGAACTGCTCCGTCCCGCTCTGGAACTACGCCCCACTGGACATCCCGATCGATCCTCGACGCTTTATGAACTTGCGTTCTGTCTGTCAAATAGACATGATAAACAAGGGTTGGTCGATGACTTAGAAGAAGCCATCACGCTCGGACGTGCGGCACTAGAGCTCTGTCCGATAGGGCATCCTAATCGTGGCGCGGTTCTTTATATCCTTGCATGCAACTTGTGGAAGAAATTTCAGAAACAGGCTGATATGCCTGAGTTGCACAGGGCAGATTTCCCTGATCAGGCTGTGTCGGTGATCTGTCCATCAAGCAGGGCTGATGTCGCCTCCTCCCTTTTCGAGCTCTCGCTACACCTCTGGGACCGGTTTCAGAAGCAGGCTACGATGACTGACTTAGACGATGCCATTTGTCTCGCAGCGTACGCTTTGGAGCTTCGATTGCCTCATGAAGATGTTTCTATTGCAAGATGGGTTCAGAGGCTGGCCCAGGGGGCAGACCCGGACGAACCCGTCATGCTTGGTCAAGTGGCAGACAATTTATGTGTCCTTGTGAATTGCCATAGGGCCAGATTCCAAACTCAGCACGTAATCGCCGACCTGAACGAGGCCATCACCTTGTACCAATATATGCTGCAACCATGACCTTGCCCAGTGTCTGGCAGAACGGTTTCGCCAGCAAACCGCAGCAGCCGATTTGGACCGGGCCATTGCACTTGAGCAAGAAGCCCTTGAGTTACTCATACGTGGAGATCCTGGCTATGACATGTCTCGGCGTTGTCTTACGGCCTACATCCAAATGAAGATCAGCTCACAAGTTGCCATGACTTCTCCGGATCCTTCAGGTGTTACCCACTTTGACATCGAGCAAGTCATCCGTAATGTTGCATTTGAAACCCTTAGAACTGCACCAACCAGGCTGCTCCATACGCCCACTGGCATTTTGTGTAGCCGGGATGCGCAGGTGTCGCATTTTATGCGCAGTCAACAGTGCAAACGGTTGATGTCGCTGTGCACAACATGCGATCGAGCTCAGCAAATGGGACTCATCCAAGCAAGTGTCTCCGGATACTTCCCATACATCACGCTTTCTCACCGCTGGGGTGAAGGCGAGCCATTATTACGCGACATCGAGGGGCGCGTGATATATGATATGCCAGTGAGAGGGGGCTTTAGAAAGCTCCAAGCCTTCTGTGCTGTTGCTTGCGAGCTGGATTACTTATGGGCCTGGAGCGACACGTGCTGCATCGACAAACACAGCAGTGCCGAGGTGCAAGAAACGATTGGATCAATGTTTGTGTGGTATCGAAAATCCGCGTTGACCATTGTATACCTTTCTGACATTTCCGATACCGGTTTGCTCGGGACCAGCGAATGGTTCAGGCGTGGGTGGACCCTCCAAGAACTACTGGCTCCCCGAACGGTACTATTCTACACCCAAAATTGGTCACTTTACAAGAATCTAACGTCCTCGAATCATAAAATGGATGCCGCTGTGTTGGAAGACTTGGAAAGAACAACTAGAATAGAGTCCCGGTTCCTCACTAACTTTTCTCCGGGCATGGATGATGCACGTTCCAGACTCCAATGGGCCTCACTGCGTCGTACCACCCGGCCTGAGGATATCGCCTACTCACTTTTTGGGATCTTTAATCTTCACCTACCCGTTCTGTATGGCGAATCTGCTGAGGACTCGCTTGGCCGTCTCCTAACGGAAATCATATCGCGGTCGGGGGATATCTCGGTTCTGGATTGGATCGGGGAGGCATCATCATTTCATAGCTGTTTCCCTGCTCATATTAAATCGTATGAAACGCTACCATCGTCTCGACCTCCACCTAACGCAGAAGAACAGACATCGACAACAAGTCAAGGGCTCTCGTCATTCAAAGCACTGCGTAACCTCGCTACGTCGCTCCTCTTCCAATTTCCTAGTCGTTCTCTGACACCATCAAGCATTGCCCCGGGGGTTCGGATGCGAACTCCAGATTCATATGCGCCAAGCGACGTTTACGATTTCCACTCATTGGACAGAGTACCTCTTCCGCGATTCCTCAATCGTTGCCTTATACTGCCATGCATCGCCCACCGTGTCACAGCGGTTCAATTGGCAGGCGAAGGTCCATCGGGACCGAGTTACATATACAAAATACAGGCATGCAGTCTGAGGCCATTGGAGATCACCCTGCCAGACAGGCTAGAAAATGCGACAATCTCACAAGGTGCTCTGCAGCTCGTTCGTCCTTGGCACTCCAACGGTCAATCTGCCGTATTAGACGCTACGAGTGAAGAGCAGTTACTTCTTACTCTTGGGAGGCCATTTAATGCTCTTCCGTTGACCGAACTGCCTCACTCCCAGCACAAACGGATTGCGTCTTCTACCCTCATTACTGCCCAACCCATCAGCCGTGCCAGCATTGTGTAGATAGCCACTGCGCTATGATATAGGCTAATATCGACATCCACTTTGATCGATATTGAAATACTTGTGTCCCCTCTGCCTGCATGTCCTGCCACTTCTTCTTCTCTGCTTCGTCTCGTCATACTTTTGGAATACATGTTCAGCGACGTCCTTCTCACGCAGAAATGCGTGCGTCGATGTTAACACTACGAACGCTGTATTGCACTCTCGCTAAGTCGCCCCTTCCGCGATTCCTTACTCGCCGCCTCGCACTGCCATGCATCGCCCATCGCGTTACAGCAACCCAGCTGACCGGGCCCTCTACTTATGCTCCGAGCTGCACCTACGAATTCCAGGCGTTCGATCCGTAGCGACTCGAGATCACACTGCTAGGGCAGCTAGAAAGTGCTGCAATGTCGGAGGGTGCTGCGCAGCTTGTTCCCCCTTGGCACTCGAAGCTGCTTGGTACATACACCAAGGTTTACTCCAGGACTGAAGAACGACCACTTTATACACTGGGAAGGCCGTTTCGCGTTCTGTTGTTGCTCGAATTGGGAGTCCCATAACAAGTACAAGAGGATCGCATCTGCCGCACTTATTTTATTCCTGCTCAGCCGATGGATTCGGCCAGTATGCTAGGATATTTGGTATTGCGTAGATTCTACATACAATATTGCAGCCAGCTCAGGTAACCTGCACAGGTGATAGTCGTGTGGTCCCAATAGTTCCAGCCGTGCATCTCGCACTCAACCTTATGGCTCTTCCTGACTAGTCTTTCGTTGTCTAGACGACTCGCTGATAGAACGCACGTAGGAAGTTTTTTTTCCTATCACTGCATCTTCCTTTGCCGTATGTAAAAGTTACTAGTAAATTGTACTATCGCTCCTTGCACGCAGTGAATCCGTATTTCTTGCCCTCACGGAACTTTATCTGCTGTTGGTTGACAGAACTTGGTCTAAATTCGGATGGCGTAGTACTGGATTGTACGTACAAAGTAAGTACCACTAGAATCAATGCAGTAAAGTACTCGGTGTATCTGGAGCTTGGTACGAGGTACTAACCCGTGCGCGAACTGCCGCGTGCCATGTTCTCCTAGCATATCCGAATAAGTAGCACTCATATATCATAGATCGAACATTACACAACCGATTACTCGAATGTTCTGCTCGTGATGGAACACTCAAAAGGTGCCGGATGACTTTTGAGTAACCAGGTCCAGTTGGGCCTGCTCCGAGCGTCGGAAGAAGCTCTACATAAGTCATTCGGCATGTCCACTAGTAAATGCTGGCTCCACCTGAATAACTCAAATCTAAAGGCAGGAAGGATATCGCCGCTGCGGCCCAGAATGCATTTTCTGCAAAGAAGCGTCCGGAACAGGTCCTGCGAGAATCATACCATTCCATTTGAGTGCCCTCTGCCGAACCTAAAGAAAAGGGAATCAAAAGAGAATTGTTCTGGTTAGCTTGGGGATTGAGTTCGCCGTTCGGGGTAAGGGATTTGTTCGGATCGAAACGTTCCGGAACTGGGCAGTCACGAGACATGACCCTATAGCATGCATACGAAGGTCCATTAAATGCAGGGTCAGCGGAGGACATGATCAACTTACCAGGCATTGAAGATAACGACACGTCTTATCATAATCACGGGAAGCCAAATACCGTCTGGAAATGGACCACCAATAAACCTTTGGGGATATGGTACCCCTCGTAGATGTCGCTTGTAGTTGCATGGGGCCCCAACAAGTAGGATCACGCCAATGACCCAGTGGAAAGACAGGATTCTACCTCATAACGTCGTAAGGTACACGGTGCAAGTACGGTAATCGTGGCCCATCTTCGAAGGTCGGAGACACCCTTCCCAATGATGCCATCAAGTTCCACATGGACCCTGCATTGCACCTCGGGAGTTGAGCGTTTGGGCACCACCACTAGGTCGAGGATCTCTAAAGTGGAGGCAGTCTACGACTATTGTCAGTTAAAGATTCCTGTTCTGGTTGAGAATTTACTGTAGCTAATGGACAGTCAAGCCCCGACAGTGAATATCATACTACAACTTACTGGTCGTGTTTCTGCGCGGAATTGGAGCTCTGAGACGGTTGCAATCATTGCCCTGTAACGTAGTGCATCCACTTTGAAACCAAGTCCAGAAAATGTTTCACTGTGCACGATTTAGGACCCTAGTTCGCCTGGCAAGAAGGCGTTTGAACTAACATATAGGGAACGCCGACAAGAGACCACCAACTTCCGGCCTAGTTCCCCAGTTCGGTATATCGAATATTGTCCCAACAAAACGAAGGGTAGAGTTATCCTTTCCTTCTACTTCCCGTCCACTGTGCAAGCGACCGGGAGACTCTGCAAGGCTACGTCACGGCATAAGGCACTTGGAAAAACGTCGCGCTTACCCTTCGAAACGCTCTGGGAGCTTGAAGCATTGGACTTGTATGTTGTGAAGGAGCTGCCGATGAGGTGTGCGGCGTAAAAAATTTCCACTACGTCAGCTCTGGGACTGGGATGCCACGGCTTCTTATGGACCCTACAGTCGTCGCCATATGGCACACCAGGAGTCATACAATCAATGCCGAACCCGTGAAGGCAAACAACATGCATAATTTTTGTGAGAGTCAGAGTCTCGCAGTGAACATACTGGTAAGTGCGACCATTCGGAGTGAATAGTAGACCGTTTATCAGCCGAAAGACGTGCAGTCTCTTCCGAGTTCACGATAACGCAGTCTTGGCTTAACACGTTGAAGTACATAACATCCCGTAAGTCATGACGAAAGTGAAAAGCTGTTCGTCATGGGAGTGGCCACGACGGACCGTATATATTATCCCGCTTATTAGCTTTTCAGGTTGATATCAAAAGCGTTTCCAATGATTGGAAACCCTTTAGGGCCTGGGGGTAGGGCAGAGGAAGATTCCTCTTGTGGGTTACAGCCACAGACGACGAGCGTTGGTCAGATCCAGTGGGTTCTTCAAGAAGCACAGTGAATATAACTGGTACAAACACATGCCCACGAATACCGAGCGGACGTAACTGCGCAAGGCCACAACCGCTTCAGTGCTTTGATAGCCGGTGAAGGGGTGGATAACGCCAATTGTGCAATGTTTTGTGTTACTTCAAGACCTGCAGCCGGATTGGCCAGTGGTAGAGTACTTGGCGTGAGGCATCGAAATGCATCAGAGTCGCTAACTATAAGGCGCACAAGATCCGATTGTTGGCGTAGAGACCACAACCGTAGCATAGGAACTCATATATGTGAGACACAGCGGCAGTTTGACACACCTGGCATCTGTGTCAAGCCTGCGCCATGGAGAAACGATTAGTCGTTGCCTAATTCAGAAGGTGGCACTGACGACCCTCGAGTCACGTGATCCTACATGCTTACACAAGCCAATTACCGTTTTTGCCCCTCGATCGGCTGCTGTGTGACTTGCCACTGAATCCGTCCACAGGCGACCACGACGACGACGACCACCAGCGCCGGCACTCTTTTTTGTTGGACCACCACCACTACGCCACCGCCACTCACAAGACTTGTTCACCTTCGCATCATTTCACTAAACAAATGTCGACGTTCTCGAGTCCGACACCAGCCCCGGGCGGCCGCAAGTTGGCTGCGAGCGCTTTCAAGAGTGCTGGCCTCATCGACCGCGATGAACATATGCGAGACATCTCGTCGGAAAATCCGGGTGGCAGGAAAGGCATCTCCAAGATTCGCTCTCACCGTCCACGACCGGTGGATATTTTCAGAGACCAACCTGGCCACTCGCGCGCAACCATGGTAAATATAATACCTTACCTTTCATCGTTTATTCAACCCATATTTACTGCATAACACTACATGGTCTTCCTTGCACGTTCTCGAAATATCCTGTATACTCCTTTCATGACCTTCTTCTCTCATTTCTTACTCCTTCCCTCCCCTGGCCTTCATCGCCTTCCCGTCATGTCACATGTATGATTATTGCACCTCGGGCATGCTTGTTCCCCAACTTTGAAAACATTGCGCTCACCCATTTTCTACTCGCTCCACCGCCGGTTGTTCCGCCTTGTTAATTGGACTTGTGGAACAGCTGGCCTCGCGATCACAGCCGGGCGCCTCGATAGATGGTATTCCAATCCGCGGCGCTGCGAGTGCGAGGAATTCGACGGTGGGGCGTCTTCGCAGGAACGTACCTGGCATGGCATCAGTATCTGCTGCCGCTGGTGGGAGAGTGGCAACTGTAGCAGTGAAAGCAGTGGATATATGGAGGGATTTTGTGAAAAGAAGATGGAACCCGGAAACGAGATTCCTGAATCTTGAGGTGAGTTGCCTTCTTTCGATAGGTACATGGATGTTCACCGCCGGAGCATATAGTCGATGTCGGATGACCCCGAGTTGGGAAAACATGGCCTACTTCCTCCTGGCGTTCCGGGTTCAAGCATGAGGGAGGCTTCGGTAATCTTCAAGCTTGCCTCCCAGCTCAAACCTCTCGTAAGTAACAAACTTCGCGGAAAGTCTGCAGGAACTCAGTGTCTTCTAGCCGCAAACTATTTCTCTCGCAAATAACAATATCGGTTCAGGGCAGCTCCTCTCGACCCTGGCTCACCACCTCCCTAAACTTGCAAACCTCTCCCTCCAGAACAATGATCTGAAAGTATGGCGTGATATGGACCATATATCCGGGCGGAAGGGGAAATTGGAACATCTTAGGGAGTTAATCTTGTTGGGTAATCCACTACGCGAGCTTGAGATAAAAAATGGTCGAGGAGACAAATACAAGAGGTGGGTTTGCTTTATCCATGCGCCCAGCAAATCCTGTAACCTATTATAGCGAGGTGACCCGGCGATTCCCCTCCTTGGTCATGTTGGACCAGGGGGCCATCGCGACCATCGCGTTCGACGCTCCCACCCCTTCATATACGACCTCGACGGAAGAGCGGCCGACCGCTACGACATTCCCGTTCGAGATGAAACCTTCATTTATTACCGGAGTGGACAACGCCGTCATTAGTAACTTCCTCGTCCGGTGGGTGTTTTGATAAATCGGCTTGGTCGTCTGCGCTGATTGCTCGCTTCATTTAGGTTCTTCCCGTTGTTCGACAATCAACGCGCAACCCTTCTAGACGCATATCATCCCTCCGCAACCTTCTCATACTCTGTGAACACTACTATCCCCTCTCGAGCCCGAATACAAGGGCTCCATTCGTCTAGAGAATTTCCTAATCAGCGCAAGCTAGATTGGTCTGTCTGGTTGGGCGATTCACGAAACCTCACCCGACTGGGTCGCAGTGACGGGGCTGAGAAGTCTGTTAACACTTTGCGTGTTGGATGCGAGGCAGTCATCCGTGCAATAACATCTCTTCCAAAGACAAGACACGACATATCGGGCTCCCCTGATAAGTTCTGCGTCGATGCCTGGCCAATAGGAAAAGGCGATAGTATGAAGTTGTTTATTTCGCTTCATGGACAATTCAATGAAGGTATGTTTATTCGGCCCCGGGTGCAATGCCGCGTTACTTTGTAGTGTCGCGCTATCACCTTGTTGGATGTTGGAATTCATGGGCGGCACATTGCTGGATCGAACGGCTGCTGACTATTTGTCTGTTTTAGAACCTTCGCAAGGTATTCGGTCCTTTGACAGGACTTTTGTTCTGGCACCTGCGCCACCGGGTTCACGGTATGTGATTAGTTTGCTCGCCGCAACGTGTTTTTCTTTTGCTTAAAAAAAACTTTGAGTAGTGCCAAGTTGAACGGGTGGGATGTTGTCATACTTTCCGACCAATGGACGGTTAGGGCTTATTCCAGCCACGAAGCGTGGCGGCCTGGCCCGATGCGGGTGCAAACGGGAGAGAGATTACCTACTACTGCTCAGCAGCCCCCACAAGCGATGCCGCAACAGTCGGGGTCAACGATGATAGTTCCATCCCAAGCGCAACTCGAGGAAGCTTTATCTGGCTTTGTAAGTTCTCGCTTCCCGACGTTCGGTTTCAACCGCACAACTTACACGGGATCCTATCAAATCCACCGCTGCGGAAACGTCTTACCACGAATGGATAGTCTGAACCGCAGCGCCGTTTGATTGTGGAGATATGCCAGCGGACGGGGCTGAATGTGAAATATGCCGTGGATTGTTTACAGAATAACGGGTGGGATTTGGACAGGGCGGTTGCAAACTTTGAGCAGGTCAAGGTATGTGAAAAAATTCGCTCGGGTAAAGTGCGATGGATACTTACGTTAGAATGGCTAGGGAGCGCTATCACGGGACGCATTTTTGTGACGTGCGATTGCGAAGGAGGTAGCGTGGGCACAAGTTCTCACGGTGATAGTTGGTTCAACCACGAATGAATCAACAGACGGCTAGGAGCGAAATCAACAACTCGATCCGACTTTCCAAAGTGCTTGATCTATCTATCTATCTGCATTCGGCAGGCTCTCCGTAGTAATATTCTTTTTGACAGTGAATGTACCTTGCATATATCATTTCTATGTATCATTTCGCATCCCAACATCCCAGAACCATCGCTCGTTCGAGTGCTTGCAATCAATTTATACTTTTCTGCCTCCGGAAGTGCACATCGAGTTAAACGACGCTAAGCAGCGTTTAGGCTGCCGCGCCCAAGAGCACGATGGAACGTGTTTACGATATCACGCCCGACATCGTCAAGGGTGGCGTGTGTGATGGGACTTTCCGAGACGAGTGCTACCCTGGTGGCGAAGAGCTGTTAAGCGCAAATATTTGGGTTCCACGACAACAACGTGTAGGGCGACCCGTCGGGACAATGTTTGTCCTTGCGTCGCGGCACACGAGGCTGATTTTCCGCGAGAGTCTAATGTACCGTAGCGCGAGCGCCGGGCCAGGGTCCCCGATAGAAAGGAACATTCTGATAACAGCAAACAATGCCTCGTTGCAAGTGTTCACATATTCATATCACACACCAAGTTCTGCCGACACCACATAAATAAAGAATAGCCCGACTTCGATTTCGATCACGTACGTCGCATCTCCAAAAGAAAATCACTCCCCTCTTCTCCTCCTCACTATATACTTACATTGCTTACCAATTCAACCCGCCTTCCTTTACTCCACAAGGCCCTCCATCTCTTTTATATTTCCTCCTCCTGCGCCCCCCAACCCCGCCGCCCGTTGCCAGTCGTTTACGATCCCTCACGACTTGCCATGAGTCGAGTACAACGCTCCTTTGAAAACTCTGCACTCCTCCAGGCAGCTTCTGAGGGCTGCCCTACCGCCGTGCGCGACGCCCTTGAGGCGGGCGCCGACATCAACGCGTCCGACAGCTCTGGTCGCACTGTTCTGACTTGCGCACTCACAGCTGATAGGTACGTACGTTTTTGGCGCCACCGCTCACGGGTTACTAGGGGACTCACGATTTTCTCGAGATGGGAGACGATCAACGCGTCTGACGCGTCGTTCATGTCGGAGGACCGTCTCGGCGTCCTTCGAATGACCCTCTCACACCCCGACATTTCCCTCTACACACTGAACGCCCCACAAGAATCTATCAACGATGTCACCCCGCTAGGCATGGCTGCATGGCTAGGCGTGCCCCACGTAGTCAAACTCCTGCTTGACTTTGGCGCGGGCGCAATCTCCGTGGACGGCATGGATACAGACGGCGCAACTCCACTTATGTGTAGGTCATCAGTGTCATTCCATCCTTCCATCATATTGTTGACACGGCGTAGACGCCGCACGTGATGGCAGATTGGAAGTCGTTCAACAGTTGGTACGTGTATTTGTTTTACCGTTGAAAGGAGCTTCTATCTGATAAGTCTGATAGCTTTTTCGTGGTGCTCGTCCAGACCTTAGGGACCGGAACCACCGTTCTCCCATCCAGTTCGCACTTCCCCATCCAAGCGTTCTCTGGGCGTGCGAGCGTGCTTTGCGCGCTTCCCGTTGGTCCGAATTCAAGGTGGCTTCTCTACAATTGTTCTTTGATTTCATGTACCGATTTAACTGACCACTTGACGTCGTTAGAACGGGAACAAGAAAGCGCTCTGCCAACCTTCCTACGCCGATACCGATCAATTGTCTCCAGATGAATCCGCACTTCCGATGATGTACGATCCACCTCCGTCCGCTTTTTCTCCCGAGTGCATCTCTCTTATCACCGACAATATCGTACACGCCATACTCACCGCCGATCTTTCTATGCTTTACTCCCTGTTGTTTTCTCCACAATCATTCGAACCTTCTCCCCTCGAAAATGGACCTGTTGTTGTAAATGTACCCGATGTCGAAGGATGGAGTGCCATTCATTACTGTGTCTCTGTACCAAACCCCTCTATCGAAATGCTCGACGCCTTATACCGCGCTGGCGCCGATGTCAGCTTGTTTACTACTGCAGAACAGTTCACCCCGCTACATTGCTTCGCTCGTCTTGCTCGTGTATCCGATGCTCCTGACTCGGGCAGTCGCATGTACGACTTCGCCTTACACCTCATCCGAGACCTCCGGGCACCACTATCTGCACGTGACAAAAACGAAGAGACATGTATCCATGTAGCTGCCGAGCATGGCCAATGTATCGATGTACTTCTAGCTTTCCTGGAATGCGATCCGACCGGATCTATTAGCAATCTGAGGAATTCCCGAGGGTAAGTCCCCGCATCTGATCTAATTCATCCGTGTTCAGATGGTTGATTGGCTTTTTCGCTTGAACAGACTCACCGCATACGAAGTAGCGAAACCCCAATTTCGGTCTGCGTTTAGCGATGGACTGGCGAACCGGCCGCAATCTTCCCTTTCTGATCGTACCATCCGCCCCAGCTCGCTCACCCATCTTCCATCGATTACTTCCCTCGCCGACTGGGTCAACCCTATCGTTACTAGAGAATCTACAGGTCCCGCAAGTCATCTTCCTTCTGACTTTGATGCGACGTGCACCTGCGAGCGGCTCCTCGACAACATCCAATATCTCACGACCGAAGCGCAGTTCGTCACGGACCTTGGCGGATTGGACAATCTTGAGTCCGCTGTCACGGAAACGTCTCAACTTGGCGAAGATGTCCTCTCGCACTTCCGCGGACAAGTCCACGACGTCACGCAAGAGCTTCGAGACATGCGCGAGGCTTTAAAGGCGGTGGATCATCTATGGAGTATTGTATCCTGGGAAGCGGAAGAATACCTCCGTGCGCGTGGGAATACCCGCACGCTGTCACATTTACTCGCACATAAACGCTCCCCGCGAGGCTCCGAGGACTCACAATCAACCGCCGTCGAACAAGAAAGCATAGACATAGAGGTATTGCCGAAATCCAAGGAGGCGAACAAGGATAAATATCGTGCTGTCGCCGTGTTCACGGAGGTGATACCACCCAAAACAATTGTGACCACGACTGCAAATGGTGCTCGAGTAGTGCCATGGCCCGAATGGCTGGACTCGTTCATTCTAAGTGCAGACTCCGCAACGTACAAGATGCATCTCGCAAATTTGATCGAGATCGAGCGGGAGTTGCTTGCGAAAGACGCCATAAGCTCCTTTGAAGAGAAGATCCCTTCGAAGGAACCCAAACTTCGGAGCTTGCTGAAGAGCCGAAAGCGGCAGGAGAAGGTGGAGAGGAGCATTGCCTCGAAGGTGAAGACCTGGATGAAGAGAAAGGTTACGACGGACAAGCCCTTGAGCCTTCAGCTTTGTTACGATCTGGACGACCCGAACTGTGCGGTAGGAAGGGAGGTAAAACAAGACTCGTCCTCGCTCGGGCCGCCGGCTCTCTCTGAGGCAGAGCGCGAAGCGTACAACATCTCCTCTATCCTATCCGTTGCCAGCAAAGACCTATCCTGCATCGAAGAATCTCTACATGGGGTAAGTTAGAGTTCACAAGTGTAGATGCCGACGATTCATGGTGTTTTCAAGGTTGAACAATTGACCACCTCTGCGAAATATTCGATCTCCCGCACTGAGTGGTTGATACGACGGACAGTAAAGGCAAGTTTGCTGTACTACGTGCTCCTTGCCATTATGCTGACGACAACGGCAGGTTCGGGAAGTCATGGTTCAAAACTTGCGTTCGCGATACCCCCCGGCATATTCTGACATCTTCGCATTCTCTCCCGATGGTACCACGCCCTCTGTCTACTTTGGTGCTCTCGACAGAAATACATCCTTATCCGTATACCCCTCACCACCAAACAGCAACAACTCCTCCCGCACAGGTTCTGCTCAATCCTCTTTTGTGTCTCTAGCGGCGACTCTGGACGATGGCGAGGACGAGGACACTCGTGCGTTGCGACGACTGATACTACGCAAAATAAACGCGCATATCGATGGCGCATTCGATGAGATCGATCGCGCCAACGTATGGTTACGCGTTGTCAAAAATGTACTGCGGGATCTGCGTGTCCGGACATCGGCATCACTTTCACGCTTACCTCCATCCTCGCCATCGGCATCATACCCCCCAAAATCCCACTGTTGAAGTTCCAAACCTCATACCGCACACTCATCCTCAAGCATCACCCTCAAGCATCCTTTACATCATCGGCATCGACATGAACAGACACGACCAAGAAAAAATAATACACGGAAAAGAGGACTCCTGGGTGCGCGCTTATGCAATATTGTCTGTATGTTATTGTGTAATGTATGTATATTATTGATGCTGCTGTTGTCTGTTGCCCTTTTCTAGTACTAATACTTGTCCTTGTTGGCACTTGTTCTCTTCGCCTTTCTTCGTTCGAAACAACTTCCTTGTCCCGTTCCGTGGGTGCGCTTTTCTTGCTCTCTGATCTGTCAGTCTCCTAGAGAGTAGTATCACATGCATTGCTTTGTAGCATTGTAGATAGCATCGTATTAGACAAGCATGCCCGAACTCTCGAGCCAGAATGAGATCTCCTTGTTTGCATCGACCAATCTTCATATTCAATGGTTTGTGCATGGGGAGCATATTTGTACATCTACATATCCTCGCTTGCCTCATACATGTGACGCAGGAAAAGATCTTTTAAGCTAATTTCCGTCGCCTGCACCAGTTCTGCTAATGATTGAGCATCGATATGGCTCGGGGTGACTGGTTACAATCTGTAAGTCGAGGACGGCAGAGGCGACAAGGATGCTGTACTCGCCTAACCATGCCGTGTCGAAAGACTGGCTCGATCTCGATCTCCTTGCCAAAGGCATCTCTGGCCTTCTCGAAACGAAAAGCAGACAGCAACACTGCGGCAGCCGCCCATAGTGAATCACCTGCGAAGAAGCGTCCGGGACAGACCCTACCCAAAATTTTCAGCGACACACGGGAAAAGAAGAGGAAGGGGTCGTTTTAAGGTGTCACATACCTCCTTCCAAAACCAAAGTACTGCGAGTTGTCCTGTTGTGCGTCCGGTTTTAACTTCCCATCTGGTGTGAGGTATCGACCGGGATCGAAACATTCGGGATCATTGTACTGATTCGACATGGCCCTAATGCTCGTTGCTCAGTGTTCGACCACGGGTCATCGTCGTTTCGACATACCAGGTATTGAATATCACTAGGGTCCCTACGACGTCGAGGTGACCGTCACGCACGCACATCGAGTAGTATGGTAGACGAACCTTTCGGGATGTAATAGCCTTCTACGATGTCACTGGTAGATGTGGCATGGGGGACACCTGTTTCCTTGCTCATTGCTACTAACTTAGTAAATGAAGTCATAATCACCTAGGGGCAAGGCAGGGTGCCATCTCATGACCTCGTACAATACAGCCTGCAAATACGGCAAGCGCTCTCTGTCCTCGAATGTGGGTAACACGCCCTTTCCAACGACAACGTCTAGTTCCGCATGAACCTTGTCTTGGATCGCGGGGTTCAGTAACATAGCTAGCACGAGAACTTTCAACGTCGAAGAGGTCTATGGGAGCCAGCTCGTAATCCGCCGCGTGGAAATAATTGTACACCTACGGTTTCTCCCGCAGCTGAATATCATCGATGGTTAGTCTACTGAATCGAACGGTGAAAGAAAGGAACATACCTATATAAATTCCTGCAGCCGTCTCCTTTGCGTCTGACTCCTCCACTTCCACCTCCCCCTGCCCTAGCATGTCAGAAATGAAACTGGGCTGCAATCCACCGGTTTCCTGCCGTCAGTCAGTATGTGCACTGTCCAAGGAAGCACGGCAATTTACCGCTTGTTTCTTCGCCATGGAAAAAGGAAAGTCAGAGAAAGAGGCTACCATACCCCTGCACTTTCGAGCTTCATCCTGGAATGCAGCACCGGGAAACCAGGAGGGAACATATTTGACTGTGCAACAACCATCTAAGGATTTTCACCGCGGATGAGCACGATCGGAACTAACGAATTGGTAAAGCTGTCAGCAATCCAACTCTTTCGACGGTCAACCCCTTTGCCATAATTTCCGCTAAGCCAGTCGCCATTGTAATGACAGGGTCATTCTTCCCATCCACTTCACGCCCATAAGTGAACTCAAGGGCAGCAGACGCAGTATACCTCAACGACGGTCAATATATGTGCGCGCGGAATGGTAACCCAATGCGCTCACAGATCGATGTGACTGTAGAAATTTTTACTGTCCTGTTGTATGTTTTCCAGAAGTCGATGAGCACTGCGGAGATGTAATTCTTGATAACGATCGATAACATCATTGCGAAGGCTAAGGTGGAGGAGTTTTCGCTGCCTCTTCCATTCCTTTCCATATTCCAGAACAGGGGTCATGTGATGGGTACCGAAGCTACGAAGGAAAGCACCCATTAGATGGGGATTACGCATTAATTTGGAGATTTACAGTTGATAAATAGGTGAGTGAGGGCGATCTGAGTAAACGGAAGACCGTTGCTCAGCCAGGAGTCGTGCCATCTTCTCGGAATTCACGATGACAATATCCTGTCCAAATATGCAGGAATAAACAATGTCCCCTAGTGGCAGGTAAACTTCTCTGGCGCGCGATTTAGTCGTATGGATCACGAACCGTAAGTCTTTCCCCACTCTGTGTATGTGACGTGGGGCTCCTTGAGATTAATGTCAAATGCATTTCCAATAATGGGTAATTGCTTGGGTCCTGGAGGGTAAGGTAGGCTAGATCTCCTCCTAGTGATGCGAATTGTAACCCATAAGCCAATAGCAGTAACGCATGCAGCGCCTGCTGAAAGAAAGGAGGTTATCATCCTTACCGGGTCACAGGTGGATCCAAGGGCACGTTGTTCTTATAAGCACCCCAAGGCCACAGTGGAAGGAGTGGCAAACCGAAGCTTGAAGTAGTGAGACATCACGGAAGCATTTACGAGATCGGAGATCCATTGTTGACACCGTATCAACATATCAACGCTGGTTGCGTACATAGTAGGTCGCAGCACGGAGAAAGAGGGAGCGCCTTCGGAAGCCCATCCAATATCATTTGGCTCGGAGGCTCCCGAAACAAATTCAAGTGATGGGACGGAGTAAGTACTAGTCCTACTAGCCAAACATGCTTGCCATTGGAGACGTGATCGGATAAATTGCAAGTAAAGTTTGAAACTGATGTCCACAACTTGCGGCAGAGACACGTCGCGTATAAATAATACTCGGCCTGCTTCGCTGCCAGACCACACCAAATGGCTCAAATTCCTACAACGACAACTGACGTTAAGTGGCAGCTCGAGAGCTCAGCGCACCGCCAACTTTGGCTCAGGACGTCCCTGCCAGGAGGATGATGCCTCCATAAGGAAGTCCGATAGGCAAGGCTTTTTAGATCATGCTTCCGAATCGAAATAGACATCAGAGGTGGGTCCACCTTCACACATTACTGGTTGGATGGATCAAACACCGCAGAGTTTGAGACCGTTTACCGCAAATCCAAGACATGAAATGTCAATCTCTCAACGTATAGCCGGCCGCCTGAAGCGAGTTGAGTATCAGGTCCTACTGGTATATCACAAATCTAAGACGTGAAAGGCATCCCAAAACGCACAGCTGGCCATCTAAAGCGAGTAGTAGGTCTTGGGAACTTACCCTGAACTTCAATACTATGGAATGATATTAACCTGGTTTCAGGGTCACAACCTTGCGCCGTTCGTTAATCCAGGGTAGAGTGAAACTCGGAAGGCACATGTCAATTCTTTTGAGAACCCGATGTCTTGGACACTTGGTTGTGTTTGCGTCATCGAGTTGATGCTCTCTGATTACAGCCTTGCGATTTTCCCGATCCAGCTATCTGAATATGAGCGAACGGTATAAAGACTGCAGCCCTATGATATTGCCTTGAACGAACCCACTCAATGGAGCATTCTTCGTTACAGACATTGACATCGGTGCCTCCATCTCTTTCCATCGCCGTACTGTGCGGAGTTGCGCTCAGTCTATGGCTTGCTATTCGCAGCAAGGCCGGTGGTCTTCCTTACCCTCCTGGCCCAAAGGGACTCCCTTTCATTGGAAATGTCCTCGAGGTCGACCTGAAGGAGCCTCATATCACCTACACTCGATGGGCAGCCCAGTATGGCACGTGTTCCCCTGTTCCGTTCGACTTTTCCGTCGTGGATTGCTAAAGGATTTACAGGGGAAGTCATTTACTCTCGTCTCTTAAACCAGGACTTTGTCATCATAAGCTCCGAAAAGATAGCAAGACATTTAGCAGACCAGCGTTCCACAATTTACTCGGATAGGCCACAGTCACCGTTGTATAAGCTGTGAGTCTGGTGACGTGCTTTCCCATTCACTCGATGACACGGTATAATACGTAGTTTCGGCGTAGATCGTATGACATTCCTTTTGACGTACTGCAGTGAATGGAAGGCGCACAGGAAGTTGTTGCATCTCAGCCTGAAGCCCGAGGCGGTGGACCAATATCAAGACATGTATCTCAGTAGTGCTCGGAGACTCCTAGGTAATTTGAAACAAAATGGAACCAAGTTTCGCGAGCACTTTCACCTGTAAGTACGTCACAACTTTTCAGTATTTCTAATAAAGGTTCCACAGGTACACTGGTGCTATCTCCCTCGAATTGACATACGGACGAAGAATTGAAGGAAAGAACGATCCTATCATATCCCTGGCCACCTCACTGGGTGTTATTCTCAGCGAAGAAACCACGCCAGAGAAGAGTGGCCTCTTGATGGCTTTCCCGCTGCGTGCGTCCCATACTAGCTTAGGTTAAAACACAACTAATGTTGAAATGTTAATGTGTAGTTCGGTACCTTCCAGCGTGGTTTCCAGGCCTTGGCTTCATGCACTTATGCCGGACCTTCCAGGAAAATGGTCCACACACTGGCGGAACTTCCCTATAATACGGCGAAACAGCAGATGGTAGGTCCGTTCCAATGAGGTGATCGACATCCATTGATCTTGCGAAGGAATCGGGTGTCCTTCCTCAGTGCCTGGTACATGATTTCCTTACACACGGAGAGGTGGAAGAAGCGTCTGCGAAGGACGCGGCCGCTGGCGTTTACTTGGGTTTGTCTTTCTCTACTGCAAAAGGCTATGCGCTGACTCAGTGGTTGCGCCAACCAGCTGCCGCGGAAAGCGTGAGTGGACAACGTTCATTCATCGCCTTCGCTAACAGGTTCTAGGCTGCTGCAATTCTGGAAACTCTTGTCTTGGCCATGATACTCTACCCGGATGTGCAACAGAAGGTGCACGCCGAGCTTGATGCAGTCCTTGGGAAGGGGAACCTGCCGACTTTCGCAGACAGGCCGCGACTTCCCTACTTGCAAGCCGTGTTGTTCGAGCTTCTGAGATGGCAACCGGTCTTCCCGCTAGGTATCTTCCTCGTGCCCCTTCCTTAGGCCAACTGACAGTACTCTCAAGGCGTCCCGCACGCTACCACTACGAATGACATCTACGAGGGATATTATATTCCGAAAGGTATGTAATGCCTGAAGCCAACTTTTAACGACTTACACGATACGCCTGCGGTGTAGGGTGCATCGTGATCTTTAATGTCTGGTGCGTCGGTTGCCTCGCAAGTTATCGAAGATCGTACACTCATGTTAACCAGGGCCATGACTCGCAATTGTCCCGATCCAGAACGCTTCGACCCGACCCGGCACCTTACATTCGATGGCCAAGTCATCCCTCAGGCTAGACAACACTATGGCATACACTTCGGTTTTGGAAGAAGGTCAGGCCATACTACATACGTATCCCTCATTAACTTGATGCTGAGATCTTGCGACTTTGCCAGAGTTTGTCCCGGACGCACCTTTGCGGAGTATGCGCTCTGGGCTGCTGCTGCTACCATGCTTTCTTCGCTGAAGTTCGAAAAGGCGAAGGATGCCAGGGGGAATTATATTGATATCAAGTTAGAATTCACCCACGGGCAAGCCAGGTTAGTGCGATTCCTATGGTGGCCCGATTCGGATTTACAGTTGATTGTAATCGATCGTACAGTCACCCACTACCTTTCGAGTGCTCCATTACGGACAGGCTGGATGATTGATCACCAAACGTCGCATTGTATCCGTGGACTTTTTCTCATCCATCAGTCCGCCGACGCTGGTCGTGAATAAGACCCTATCGTGTAACCATATCATGCAAGAACCATATCACTTTGGAGTCATCGAATTATAGGTTAATGGGGAACCCGTTGTAGTAACGCGCACATAGATACCAGTTGTACCATAATGTGCTCCCAGTTGATAACGAGTTTGAAAACCGTTAGTGTTCTTGGTGACTCCCCTTCCAGTGAGAAGGACTTGCCTCCATGTTCTTTCGGATGACGAACATTGAAGAGGGGTTGAAAACCAAGGCAGCTAGTTCGTGGACCATAGAAACTTTCCTGTTCTAGAGTTCTGGATGATCGTGGCAAAGAAACATAGACCCCATTACGTTCCACGGGACCAACATTCTTCGGTATCGAGTCACTTCCTGGTATTTTCCATCGTATTTACCAGCCGACGCGGTGGAGGCGGCTTATGACAGAGCCTCAGTTTCCGATGGGGGCAGAAGTACTGCCCTTTCACTTGGATGGCGCTGTGATGAAGGCTGTTAGTTCATATATAACCCTTGACACCAACATGTGTAGAAACTCAGTGCTGCACAAGGTAGTACAAGCTATAAACCCTAAACCTCCATCCCCACCCCCTGTCCTGTTTGCTCCGGCGGCTCGTCAGGTCCCGTGGACTCCTCAGCCTTGCACCACATCGGACAGAATGGCAGCATTTTCACTCATTACCAATGACAATATTCCATGTTGCGCCACCGCACCCATAAGCTCGCGAACTGTACCTCGGGTGCTCTTCCATGGACTGTGATGCGATGCGATCGAATTCATGTGCGTCCTCGTCGCCAGTGTGCACAAGGGGTTGGTTCCTGAAAGGCTCAACGTTGCGCCTAGTTCAACGACAAGCTTTGCCACACATGGCGTGGAATCGTTTGGCTCCCCCATAGGAATTTTTTAGGAAAAAAAAACGAACGTCCTCCAGTCAATGATGTAGGCATTAGGTCTTGTCAGTGGCGTGGTTGCGGTGGTCTAAGAAAAAGAGTGTCGAGTAGTCCAAACAGCGTTGACGGTGGTCATCACGTCTGTGGACGGGTTATAACCACACATTATTGACTTCAGCCGAGTCACACAGCCGATGGAATTTGGAAGGGACGAAATGATGATTTGACCTGCGAGGCCCTCCCCAAGTAGATATGTTATGTAAGCTGGTTTGGCTCAGGATTATCGATTCGTTCCTTGACAGTCTCACGCCGAATTCACCCATACATCTTCAGCGAACAGCTTTCCAGTGTGTCGTAGTTCCTGTGCCAACGATTGAACGCTGTCATTCGATGCCGCATACAATTCTACTAGCCCGCACCACTGGACACTGGCCAGTTGAGAAAAACAAACTTCAAGTCGCGAAGTACAGATCGTTCCATACGTGATTGGCGCCACTTACCTCTAACGAGAACTCTGAGACAGTTGCGGCGTTTCTCAGTCACACCATCGCAGGTCTGCCATATATTACCGGACATGTCTCAGACGTAGTATGTCTGAGCTGACCTAGGGACTAGACTATACTGGTCCGGTATCTCGGGGTTGGTTACCACTTATGTTCACTGTGCTGCATATAAGAATGCACTGAAACTGACCGACGCTTGTTGTCTGTAGCCATGCCCGATTACCTCGTCCTCAGCGTGACATGTGCCTGTGCCACGCTCATTTTTCTTTGGTTCGTAGCTCGCAAGAGGGGCCCTCCCCTCCCCTTCCCCCCAGGACCTAAAGGGCTTCCAATCATTGGAAACTCTCTTGGTATTGATCTGAAAACCCCACAATTCACGTATGCTAAGTGGGGAAATATATACGGTTTGTCGTATTCACTCTCGTGTGACGAGCACTTTTTCACTTTTCGTTGTGACTTAGGGGATGTTGTGTACTTTAACGTGTTTGGCCAAGGCTTCGTTGTCGTGAACTCGGAAGAGACTGCGCGTCTTCTGGCTGATAAACGGTCTACTATTTACTCTGACCGGCCGCATTCACCAATATATTCATTGTAAGACTTTAACTCTTATACTGTGAACTCAAAATTATGCATGCTATTTGCCTTCACAGGTTCGGCATTGATCGGATGACTCCTGTTATGCCATATGGCAATGACTGGAGGACTCATAGGAAGCTATTTCATTCTAGCCTCAAAGCTGACGTAGTTCAAAAATTTCACGACGTATACCTTAGCAACGCTCGGCAGCTCCGTCACAATATACAATCCGATCCTTCCAAGTTTTCAGAGCATTTCAAATTGTAGCTGCGATTTTATCATTATTAGGGGTTTTCTGTGCCGTGACATATCTTGCAGATTCTCTGGGCCACTTGCATTGGAACTGACATACGGACGGAAAGTAGAAGGCAAGGATGACGCCACCATCCATTTTGTCAGCACGATATTCGATATGCTGAGCCGGGGAACTACGCCACAAAGTGGTGGTCTGTTATTGGCGTTTCCTATATGTCAGTTTAAGCACATTCCTTCTGTGTGAACCAGGCTCTAAATCGCACACAGTGGAGCATTTTCCATCGTGGCTCCCTGGACTTGGTTTCAAAGCGGAAGCACCACGTTGCAGAAAGATGATTGCAACCATGGCGGAGCTCCCATTTCGCGAAGCGAAAACACAATTAGTGAGTTGCCACTGCAAACTCCTCTTCATGCATGTTCAACTTCCAAGGTATCCGGTACTTTGCAACATTGCTTGGTATCTGACTTCCTCGCTTACGAAGGCGCGGGGGAGTCGGCAGCGAGAGAAGCTGCTGCAGGTGTCTATCTAGGTAGGCTCACGTTTCAGTCAGCAGTATGCCGTTCAACGTCGGGGTTTGACTGTCCATTAGCTGCAGCGGAAAGTGTGAGTTTGCAGCCACACTAGATATTTTCAACTGACAATAGTCGTAGACTGCCTCCATTCTGGAGACGGTTGTCCTAGTAATGATCCTCCATCCCGAGATACAAGCCAACGTTCACGCAGAGCTCGATGACGTCATTGGGAAGGGCGTCTTCCCGACTTTCGAAGATCGGCCGCGATTACCGTACTTGCAGGCTGTACTTTATGAGGTTATGAGGTGGAATCCCGTCTTTCCACTAGGTCGTTGGCGCGATCCTATTTCTTACCGTATCTGACTGAACGACCAGGTGTTCCTCATGCAACTACTACAAGTGACATCTACGAGGGGTACTATATCCCAAAAGGTTCGTCTGCGGTCCATTTCTAGAGACAATGACTTACCCGTGGTTATGACAGGATGTATCGTTATTTTCAACGCATGGTAGGCTGATCATATCCTCCGCCGACCCTGTTTACATGGAATCTCTGCATGTATCGTAGGGCCATGTCTCGTGACTGTTCGGATCCGGAACATTTCGACCCGAGCAGACACCTTACTCCGGGGGGCCAGCTGACGCCCCAAGCGAAGCAGAACAATTCTCTTTTCTTTGGGTTTGGCAGGAGGTATGTGCTGACTCTGGTGTCTCCAATTCAACGGAGCACTTAATTGGAATGAAATGATTCTCACAGGATCTGTCCCGGACGCTTCTTTGCGGAAAACGCGCTCTGGGCCTGCAGCGGCGACGATGCTTTCCGCTTTCAGGTTTGAGAAGGCCAAGGATGAGTCTGGGAAAACTATTCAAGTGGAGCCATCATTTACCGACGGACAGATCAGGTGAGTTATAGCCTCTCACGACGCTTGCAGGAGGACCAACTGAAACTGGTGTTAACAGTCATCCGGTACCTTTTGAATGTTCCATCACCAGCAGAATGTGAGTAATCGATGGTGTAATGGACATATATAATGTATGGAGTGAAACGCTGTTCCGGAGTGGGGGAGAACTTATGATTCGTAATCGATACTACGATGTCTCATGCCGATAAAGCTTACCTGTAACGGGGGAAATTGTTTCGTGAATTCTAAGAAAATGACACAAATTCTGGCTGAAAAGTGGACAACCATTTATGTACTCAAACCGCTCACGTTCGCCTCCTGATCGACTGCAAATCCCCCGGGGTACATGCTTACCTCCTTACTGCTTGGTCCAACGGCATATTACTCCTCTGAAACAGCTAGTCAACTCGTCAGCGGCAGGCTTCATTCTTGATGCAGGACCCCGCACCCAGCTTGGGCGTGAATTAACGGCACGACTAGTACGTGATAGGAGTGCACCTCAGTGAGCTAGCAGATTTTCCATAGGCAAAATTTGATCGCACCATTGTGTACTGTGTCCCTCAATAGTAATTCCAGGCGTGACATGGGCCTCCGTGAGACTGACGCCAGCATTTTCGACAATGAGCAGCTGTCTGGGATCCAGAGGGTTGAGTAGGCTTGATCTATAATTCAACTTACAAACTTGGGGCGGTGAGACACTCTGGTAAAGTTGATGAATGGTGCAGGTTTCAGGGTAGACTTGGAGAAGGAGCGCCTACGGAGCCTTGTGCGGTGTTGACAACTTGGGACAACCCACAGTAAGTGAACTCATAAATTATGCGAGCCTGGTGAGAATAGTGTAGTACCAGACATGCTTTCGGAATTACCGGTGTGATACACACCTGCAACTGACGCAAGTTCCAGCGTGCAAATCATGACTGCATATCGTGCTGCTCGAGAGCCCCTGAGACAATCAGTCAATGGATCAGGCACCCTGACCCGCATCCCGAAAACAGTGCTAGTGTAAGTTTCGGAAGTATTAGTTTGAAACCGGAGTTCGATTTGCGCCGCGCAGCTATTAGGCAAGCCGTCACTAACCATTTCCCTTTCCACTGCCACAGCCGCCCACTGTATGGCCCACCCTCCTGTTCCTACCAACGGCGTACAGTTGCTGCTCGTTGCAATATGTCGGGCGCTATCCAGCGTACCAATTCAAGAGTTAGAGAACCGTGTAGGCTGGAACGATAGGGACTGCCAATAGCTGCCTTTTCCAGCGCGTATGTCAGTCTCGGTAGATGAATAGACCCGAGCCTTTGTTGGGGAAGTTCCAACGCCAGGTCTGACTAACTGGGAGAGCCTAACTTGGTTCAGTACAAAGAGCATCAGTGCGCCATTGGCAGGATCAGGAGGTTGGGCTACACAGCGATGGTAAAAGGGTTTCGACACTTGCTGACTGCCAGGCGACTGGAACGGTTTCAGACTTTACTTCCAAAAATTACCTAGGTGAGAGCTGTTATCAGGATTCGAGTCAGCGTGTCCAATTCATTGGTTGAATGTCTGGCCTTACTGCGAGCCTTTCCTATGACAGCACTTTTAGTACAACTCACTCTCGCGTAACTGATATAATCACTTTGCCTCGGCAGCCATCAAGTTGCTGATATCGCACCAAGTACCGCTATTTTCAAGTCTGCCCTGAGACCTATGCCATCCACAAACTCTGCTAGTGCGTCTCACTACCCTCAGCTCCGCTTGTGGCACTTCCTTCCATGCCGTCAGTTTGTATGCCTATAAGAGCGGCATGTTCCTGCAGCCTACCCTGGCCACCCGGCAAGGATGATGAGCTCCCCTCTTTTTATAAGCACTGCGTGCATAATTGGCGCCGGCTTGTGGCTTGCAATTCGAATTACCCGAAAGAAATCTAACCTGCCCTATCCTCCGGGTCCCAGACAGCTGCCCATCGTCGGAAATGCGTTTGACGTTAATCTCAAGGAGCCCCACATCACGTATACGGAGTGGGGAAAAACTTATGGTCTGTAATCCATACTGCGATATCCCGAATCCACTAAGTTTACCTGGGACAGGGGAAATTGTTTATTGTCATATATTTGGACAAGATATCATCATCGTGAATTCTGGGAAAATGGCACGAACTCTGGCTGAAGGGCGGTCAACCATCTACTCGGACCGTCCTCATTCGCCTCTTTTTCGACTGTAAGCTTCCGAGCAACCCGCCTAACCTCTATCTAGTGACTAATTTCCCTCGCAGCTTCGGTGCAGATCACATCACTGGTATCTTGGAGTATGGCAAGGAATGGAAGTCACAGCGAAAGCTTCTCCACCTTGGCCTTCGCCACGATATTGTTGACAGGTACCATGAGTTACATCTCCGCAGTGCTCATCAACTGGTGGAAAACATACAACGGGACAGTAAGAGTTTGTATAATCATCTCGATTTGTGAGTGATGCAAGCTGCTTGTTTGCGCAGACAACCCGACCATTTCTCAGGTACACCGCGACCATGGCTCTCGAGTTCACTTACGGGCGTAGAATGGATGGGAAAAACGACCCCATCATTTCAATGGCGGCCAGCTTGGCGGAAGGTATGACGACGGGAGTGACTGCTGAAAGAGTTGGGTTGCTGGCAGCTTTACCAATTCGTTGGTCTGGTTCATTTTTTGCCACGGAGATAATTCTGAGAGTTATCACGCAGTCAAATACATTCCATCCTGGTTTCCAGGTGCTGCGTTCCAGGATGAAGCACGAAGGTGCAGAAACATGATGGCATCTTTTGCTAACGCCCCTTTTGCCAAGGCTAAGGAACAAGCAGTAAGCCATTATACAACCTCGGACAGCGCGCACACTAACTTATGACAGGAAGCTGGTGTACTGCAGCCTAGCTTCGTATCCGATATCCTACAGCAAGGAGATGCAGATGAGTCGGTTGCAAAGGAGACAGCCACAGGTATTTATATAGGTACGTTACTTTCACTTTCCAATAGACTCGATAGGTTGATCGTCGATGGCCTTGTATTAGCTGCTGGAGAAACTGTAATTATGCACGATTGTCTCCGTGCGATGGATGACAAGCTGGCCTCTTAGACCACTTCCACCTTGAAAGTTCTTGTACTGGCCATGATACTGAATCCTGAGATCCAGAACAAAGCTCATGCGGAGCTAGACGCAGTAGTTGGAAAAGGTGTCTTACCCACCTTTGAAGACAGAAAGCGCTTGCCGTATTTGCAGGCTGTGTTGTTTGAGGCCATGAGATGGAACCCTGTCATCCCTCTAGGTCGTTGGCATTCCATCCGCGAAGCTGCACAGTAATTCTAACCAAACAAGCAGGTTTTCCTCATGCTACGACCACCAGTGGCGTCGTCGAGGGATATTACATTCCGAAAGGTACGTTTATACCGTATTGCACGATCTGTGCACGTGAAGCCCACCTCAACACCGCAGGGACTATAGTGATATTCAATGTTTGGTAAATTCATTCGCTATGGAACTTGACTGAACGCTGAGCCACGGACATTAGGGCGATGTCGAAAAACGAGTACGAAGATCCAGAGCGTTTCGATCCAACTCGACACCTCACTTCGGACGGAAAGCTGAAACCGAACGCCAACCAAGATAACACAAAGTATTTTGGTTTTGGGAGGAGGTAGGTGACGTAGGGACCTTTCTCGACGGTGCTAAAGAGTCTCGTAGGAGTTGTCCTGGACGCTTACTTGCGTGTGATTCATTATGGGCAGCTGCAGCAGTGATGCTATCTGCCTTTCGTTTCGAGAAGGCTAAAGATTCGTTTGGAAACGAGATCGAAATCGACCCCATCTTTCTCCATGGTGTGCTTAAGTCCGTATAACTTTCTTGTCAACTCGGACGAATTGACCCGAACATCATGATCACAGCTACCCCCCCCCCTATCCGTGTTCCATCATTAGTAGGATTAATATTGAATGTGAAGGGAAGTAACTCTTTCTTTGCCTGTCTGCAGATGTGACCGGATGTTGTATAAAGTAAATTTGCGGAAATGTCCTCGTGCTACATGCTATGCAGTACTATGATATATTGCCCCTCTCGAACCATTGGTCGCGTCTCAGACTTACATTCACTGTATACCGAAAACTATCTGAGCACCCTGTAATTTGGTGCAGCGACTAAACAAACGACCGAGAATTCAAGCTAGCTACATGGTGCTTGGTCGAAAGACACCAACACAAAATCTGACAGCTCCCACTGTTAGTGAGCACTAGTACTTAGTAGTCTGGTAGTAACCAGACGCGTCTTATGCGAGGCAAGTTGTCGATTACGGCTTCCCTCATTGGTATGAATGCCAGCGCTTCAGTAGAAGAAAAGTAGGGGTTCAGCCTCAAAACACTTCTAGACTGTGATGCGTTACCTCCGCCATTGTGTGATCTGTGGGAGGCAGTGTGTATCGTGTGCGGGCGACTTAAAACGGTCACTTGTTTGGTCATCGTAGTATCCAGGGGTGTCCAGAGGGCCTTTGATATACAATCTGGCATCAAGAATGAGAACCTAAGGGGTTGACCAACTGTCTGAGAGGGGTAATTGTACTAGTATGTAACAGAAACTGTTGATTTACATGATACAATGTCCAGTTGCGTCTGTAGGCATGCAAGAAAGAAGCTACTACCCTTCACGTTCAGTATCAATCCTGCTAATGATGGAACACTGGTACGGGGCAGGATAGCTATGATCATGGTGTTCAAGTCAATTCGGCCAATTGACAAGACAGTTGTACCGACCTAAGCGCACCACGGTGAAAGAAAGGGTTGATTTCGATCTCGTTTCCAAACGAATCTTTAGCTTTCTCGAAACGAAAGGTAGATAGAATCACTGCCGCAGCTGCCCACATTGAATCACCCGCAAAGAACCGCCCAGGACAAATCCTACGAGACCCTTTAGCACGTGGGAAAAGGTCCCTACGTCACCTACCTCCTTCCAAAACCGAAGTACTTTAAGTTGTCTTGGTTGGCGTCCGGTTTCAGCTTTCCGTCCGCAGTGAGGTGTCGAGTTGGATCGAAACGCTCCGGATCATTGTACTGGTTCATTGTCATGGCCCTAACGCCTGCTGTTTAGCATTCAGTCAAGCGCCATGACGAATGAATTTACCAAGTATTGAATATTACAATAGTGCCTGCGGTGTTGAAGTGGGCTTCACGCGCACATATCATGCAATACAGTATAAACGTACCTTTCGGGATGTAATATCCTTCCACAACGTCACTGGTGGTCGTAGCGCGAGGAAAACCTACTTCCTTAGTCAGAATTACCGTGCAACTTCACAGACGGAACATCAACAACCTAGAGGGGCAATGGGGTGCCATCTCATGGCCTCAAACAACACGGCCTGCAAATACGGCAAGCGCTTTCTATCTTCAAAGGTGGGTAAGACACCTTTTCCAACTACTGCGTCTAGCTCAGCGTGAACATTGTTCTGGATCTCAGGGTTCAGTATCATAGCCAGCAGAAGAATCTTCAAAGTAGAAGAGGTCTAAGAGGCCAGCTTGTCATCCATCAAGTGGGGACAATCATGCACACCTACAGTTTCTCCAGCAGCTAACGTAAGGCCATCGGCAGTCAATCTATTGATTCTATCGGTAGATAAAAGCAACATACCTGTATAAATACCTGCGGCTGTCTCCTTTGCAGCAGACTCATCTGCCTCCCCTTGCTGCAGAATATCGGAAACGAAGCTAGGCTGCAGTACACCAGCTTCCTGTCATAAGTTAGTATGTGTGCTGTCCGAGATTACACATAGCTTACTGCTTGTTCCTTAGCCTTGGCGAATGGGACATCAGCGAAAGATGCCATCATATTTCTGCACCTTCGCGCTTCATCCTGGAATGCAGCACCTGGAAACCAGGATGGAATGTATTTGACTGCGTGATAACTCTGTCAGAATTATCTCCATAGCAAAATCGAATCAAACTAACGGATTGGTAAAGCTGCCAGCAACCCAACTCTTTCGGCAGTCACCCCCTTCGTCATACTTTCTGCCAAGCTGGCTGCCATTGAAATGATGGGGTCGGTTTTCCCATCCAATCTACGCCCGTAAGTGAACTCGAGAGCAATGGTCGCGGTGTACCTAAAAAATGGTCGGGTTGTCTGCATAACCGAGTAGCACACAATACTCACAGATCGAGGTAATCATAAAAACTTTTACTGTCCTGTCGTATGTTTTCCACCAGTTGGTGAGCAGCACGGAGATGTAACTCTTGATACCTGTCAACAAAATCGTGTCGAAGGCTAAGGTGAAGAAGCTTTCGATGTGTCTTCCATTCCCTGCCGTACTCCAGAACACCCGTCGTGTGATCTACACCGAAACTGCCTTGGAAATTAATGACTAGATGGAGGTCAATCATGTCTCCTGGTAGCTTACAGTCGAAAAAGGGGCGAATGAGGGCGGTCCGAGTAGATGGTTGACCGCTTCTCAGCCAGATTTCGTGCCAATTTCTCAGAATTCACGATGACAATATCTTGTCCGAATATACGGGAATAAACGATTTCCCCTGTCACAAGTAACATTAGTGGGTTCAGGATATCGTAGTATGGATTACGGACCATATGTTTTCCCCCACTCTGTATACGTGATATGGGGATCCTTGGGATTAACGTCAAAAGCATTTCCGAAAATGGGCAGCTGTCTGGGACCCGGAGGATAGGGTAGGCTGGGTTTATTCCGAGTAATTCCCATCGCAAACCACAAACCAGTCCCAATTATGCACGCGGTTACAACAAGAGGGGAGGACATCGCTCTTGCAAGGTATGCTGTAGGAATACGCCGCTTTTATAAACATGAAAACTGACGGCATAGGAGCCAGTGCCGAAGTGAGACATTCTAATAGAGCTTATGGATGGTGTAAGTCTCGGGGCATACCTGAAGATAGTGGTGCCTTATACGACATCAGCAGCTTGGGAGCTACTGAGACAAAGTGAACCAAAAGTGAACTCACCAATTACGCGAGAGTGAGTCGTGCCAAACATACTTTCGGATGTGTTATCGTAGGAAAGGTTTGTAATAAGGGTTGAAATTGACTCGAAGTTTGGCTGGCACTATCGTTAGTGTGATACCCAAGGACACGCACCTTGACCTGCTTCCGTACCAAAGCCCACCATCACTGCCACAACCTCCATACTACTGCATACTGAACCGCTCGCCAGCTCCTGGGGCAGTCGACCAATGGGTTAGGCACGCTGATTCGAAACCTAATAACAGCTCCGGCGTACGTAAGTTTTCGGAAGTAAAGTTTGAAACCGTTCCCTGAGTGTTTGACGTGTCGAACCCCTTTTGCCACCACCACTGTGTCCTCTCGCTGTTGGCTGATCATTGCAATACGACTGGCGCTATCTGGTGTACCAACCCAAAAGCACTGCGAACGGGACGGGATGGATAGGATTCCGTCGGCCCTGTAGATGGTGAGACCCTTGTAGAAAGGCTGGAGACCGAGGGAATGCGAGTAGCTCTGGCTCACAGGTCGGATGGTCTAACTCGTTCCAGGTAAGTACTACGTACATGCAATGTATTACAACATCGTTCTGGGTATGTAAGGGACAGTTTGTTTCACCTCAAAAGAAATCCGATTCGTAGGCATACTTCCAAACTAAGGGGAGGGTACTGGTCACGAAGGAATTTGTAAACTTACGCACCAACTGCAACAAACTGGTCCACATTAGCACGCCGATTATTGTGGAGGGATATGCTTGGTGTCACGTCTCCTTCGTGGAGCTCTATATCTGGACAATCAATATCGACGATACTTCACCCGATTGTTATGCAACAGGAGTAATCACTTGTAGGTGGTCCCTGAACAATGACGTTTTCCCTGAAATCAGAGTGGACGAGATGGACGCTCTGCTAGCCAAAACCACCTTTGCGACCAAGCCAACGGATGAAACATCAGGTGGGCAGTGGCAATACTGACTATAGCCTGGTTATCAGTGCTGAGGCCCCTCTCCAAATCTCTTGGAGGAGCTTCTGGAGTGGTCTTTCAGCTGGCGTGAGGGCGGCGGCACATAGCAGGTATGCCAAGTAGATGCGGAAGGAGGTATTCCACGGGGAAATTTCGCGTGTGGTCTCTAGATTACAACAAACACCCAGTCTTGCAAAGGAGTCATGAGGTAATTATGATTTATCCCCGCCATCGTTTGCATCGTGAAAGCACATGGCACTCACCCAAGGCAAGTGGTTCTGTAGGCACTCGGTGGCGCAGTGGCACTTCCATATCAACATGCCCCGCCCAAACAGAGCCTCAGCCCTGCGTGACAAGTCCACTGGCCATTGATGCCATCAAACCACCAGCTGCGTCAATCTCGGATATCTGCGGTGGGTATACCAGCCATTCCGTTGTCTCGGAAATGACGTACTTCAAGCCATCCTGTGCGACGACCAGGGATTCCAATGTTGTCAACTGAATCTTCCAGTGCCGGTTGGCTGGTAAGTTGGCCGTACCTTTTTTAGGCGAGCCAAAAACCACAGTAATCGGGGTTTCCGTTTTGACTCCGGCGCTGTGGCTTTGTCACAATTTGCAGTGATTGCCCAAGATGTGTGAATTCTCTACAGCACGGTGTCTATGTATGACCTTCAAACTTTTGGCGCATTTTCCGCCTTCGGGTCTCAAGATCTTATTCGCGAACCATTCGTGATAATTCAATTGGCCCGAGTACCCCTTTCCTTGCGTTTAATTATAGACTCTACACTTCACATCGGCTCTTGGCAGTTGGCCTGTCTGGCCCTTTACTTATAATCCTATGCCATGTACACGGGCGACTAATACCGTAGACTCGATAGCAGTCATAAGGCTCGCTGTCGAGAAGGTCATTCATAAAGTTCTTTCCCGACAATGGTGTCTGACGCCAACTATGAAGTTGTCGCAGCTATCCGCAGTATTCGCAGTCACAGTGGTATGTCTGTCTTCCTTTTCAAGGATGTGCTCAAGAAATCATGGGTTGTCCAGTGGCTTCACTTGCCGTATTACTGTGGGACTCCCTATTAATGATGGGCGATGAGGTTCATTGTATATGGACGTGAGTGAATTTTCTGTCGTTTTGTATCGTGAGGATCGGAATTCACTTTTTGTAGAATGAAGGGGCGCCCCATCAAGTGGTTGTACTTCCTTCTACGTTATTTTCCTCTGTTCGCGCAGATGTAAGTGTGCTGTCTTTTGACGGTGGTTTCGTTCTAATAGCTCCTCAGCTTGCATCAAATCGTTTTCCCTGACTTATCTGGGAGAGATACTCTATCCCCCATTGGGTGCAAGCTGTGGCATGCGTACATGATAATTCTGATACAAGTTATAACTATCGCGTTGGAGCTCGTATTGGCACTTAGAGGTGGGTGTTTTCCAGGTTCGCTCTCCAGATTCCGTGATCATCATGCGCCTCGCATTAGTTATTGCACTATTCGGTAGACATCGATGGGTATCTGGCCTACTTGGTTGCATCATGGCAATTGAAATTCTGTGTGTCCTGCCTCATGCGTGGACTTGCATTCGCTACTATCAATACTGTATTCTTTACACCCTATCACCCGTGGTGCAGATACAAGCGTACGTCCTCTAATTTTTCGGGATTTTGAGTCTAAAGCCTCTTAGGGCTGCCGCCGTGGTCGTTCAAACCACCTTTGTTTGCATGACGTTATGTAGAATCGTATTTAGAGACTGGCGGATTTTTGAGGACAACCATTGCATTCCAGATTGTTCGCGATGGAACTATCACATACTTTGCGATAATGGGTCAGGAATATCTTAATAATTGTTTTTGTAGTCAACTCACTCTCATTGGCTAGCGCTGATATGTTGTGGCTTCATCATGATAAGACTACATTGGTATCCAGCCACTTTGTTCTTGTACGTGCTGCCTTTTACCTTCGTCGTACTATTACTGACCATATGTTGGTATAGTTGGGCTGTGACCGTTCACTCGATAAGTGTAAGTACAGTCGATGAGAGGTCGACGAGATATCTTGCTCACCGAGACACTACTCACAGGGAACCCGACTCATCTTGAACATGGCATGTTTGCGAGGGGAGGAATTGTCGCAGGAGAGCGAGAACAATATGTTTACTACTTTGATTGACGTCTCAGCTAATTTCATGCCTGAAGTTTGACCGGCATACGAAACATGTTCCTGGATGCAGGCTGTTCCAGTCTGAAAAAACCCTCTGTCACCCGCAGTAGCACGGGTCGGGGTTGGCCGGTCCACGACAAGTCCACGGACCGTGAGATGTGAGATTCCGGGCCCGGTGTGGGGCGACACATCTCAAATGGCTGGATTGTTTGAAGGTCGACTGGGGTGAGGGTACTATATTCTACATTCCGTCTGCCCGATTGAGTCACTCTCCGATCGACGAGCTGTGCGGCGAAACAGAATCCTCGATGCTATCGCTTGCTTAAGGACTCCAACAAGGTGCGCGCGCAGGTCCAGCAAACGCAGGAGAAAGACGAGCTACTGTAATTGTTCTGGGAGCTATGTGTGAACGTTGTCCGGCAGCAACAAGCAGTGAGATCACACGCACGCACAAAATCTGGACCCTGCACTTTCTTCGCACGAAAGGCTCCCAGACCCCTCGCTTGTACTGCAATCCCAACGGAACCATTTCTTTGGTGATAGCGAACGCCCATTTTCTGTGCATTCTTCCTTATGAAAATGCTTTCTTTGATGGCCGTCAGTTCTTCTCCTGTCTGGAGACCCGTCGGCAACCTCCTATGACACTGAGATTACCTGCTTGCACCACTACCTTTGTCATGGGGATGGGCACTGTGACCTCTCACATTGCATATTAACTGGTGAAACACTCACACCCGACGTTGCTTGCAATGAAAAGCTATCCATCAGCACGAGAATATCCTCCTTACTGTGATCAGCTGTCTGGTCTTTTCGAGGCATGGTTAATTATGCCGTTGTTCCAGACGTGTTATTGACGGAAGTTGCCCTCATCAGTGTACCATCCGCAGCATTGAGACCACATTCGCTTCCTCAGAGTGTTCGCGGATCTTGCTTGTGATACTGGTGCAAGGATTTTCCTACAGAAGCTTGTTATGGTGCTCGTAGACTGCTGGCCCTGACCCCTCCCGGTCTCCAAGGAAGATCTTGCCTACGTACCGTTTTTTCTCTCGTCACTGCAACTACTCATGGTGCATAGACATGTCCGCCCTTGCGGCTGCGCAAGATCTCACTCTCCATCGGCTGGTTCAGTTTCTGACGTTCAGTCATCAGCAACTTCTATTGAGGTGAGAATAGACGGAAATCATCCTTACAAGAACCTTAGTGTGTTTCGCATGTTATGGTACTACATATTCTGCATCCATAGTGTCCCCTACCAGATGTCCCTGCTGCCATTACTGGTTGTTTGTCTCCGCCAGCGGTCCGAAGCGGTCCGGTAAATAGAACTTGCCACGAGAGTGGTAATTGGCTAAAGTGCCGTTGAACACGACCATTGACTTGCGAAGTGGTTGCATCTGACCACCGTTGTCAGTGAGAGGCAACAGTAGGATTTGACCGAATATGGCGCCTTTCAACACGCCGGGTATTGTTATTACTGGTTTCAAGGAACGGCCCGAGTCAATCCTTGCCCAAGGTAATGCGGAACCTTTACCCCGGTGCACATGGTGTGGACCGTTTGTCTTTCAGGAAACAGATTGTATATTGGAACCTCTACGGGAAATCTACACATACATGACCTGAGCGACTCTACAAGTAAGTCGGACGTCGCTGTTACTCGACATCTTCAACCTAATCGGTTGCCAGATCCTAACGAGCAGTCCGTGCTTGTTGAGACTAAGGAAAGGATTGTCACGGAGAGCCATTGATCAACTAGGATATATTAAAGATTTGAATTCACTGGTTCTACTTTCTGGTGAGTGGTCTGATTGCAATCACGGATTGGCAAATCGATGCTAGCTAGGTACTAGAAACACTCGTGACTCTTTACCCATTACCGTCCTTTTCCCCACCGACACCACTTACTAAGACCAAGGGTGCACTATCCTTCGCTACATATTCCTCTGTAATCGACACCCGGTCATCAGGCGATGGGACGACAGCCATACCAACCATGGTTACGCAACTCATCGTTGGGTGCCGCAGGAGAGTAGTCGTATACTGTTGGAAAGACGGGGAGGTTCAAGAAATCAAAGTGTGTAGGACAGATTATTTGTCGCTGACCACTGTCTGATCGCTTTGCTTTATACGAAGGAAGCGGCTCTACCTCACTCGCCTCGCCTCATCGCCTTCCTGGACCGCGACAATGTCTGTTTCGCATACTCACCCACTGAATATGCCGTGTTTTCTATCAGCAAACTTGCTGCCGTAGACGTGACTTTGCCAATAGCACCTGCTACGTCTATGGGGGCTTTGTCGGGTTTGGGTAATTATATGATGCTTAGTCGGGGTGCGAAGTCGAAGCCCAACATAGTAAGGATTAGTGAAACGGAGACTCTGGTGGTCAGGGATAGTACGTGTTCTCCCGGTTTGTCCTGTTCTCGATGTTGATGACCGTATCAGACCAGGGGTTCATAGTGGGCGTTGACGGTAAACAGACGAGGCCTGATATTATTGATTGGCCGGGTCCGCCAGATGAAATCGGTAGGAAATCTCGCTGGAAAGTGCATCCTTTCTAATCGGTCTACTAGCATACGTGAGCCCATACGTATTTTCCATCCTTCCACCAGGAACTGTTCCAGTATCAGAAGAAGGCAGTTCGTCGTCTGGCTTATCGACGACCCCACAGACCACGATACCAGCGCCAGTTGTGCAAGTCGTGTCGTCAATATCTACGGCACCTGTGCAGACCCTTCCGTTCCCCTTTCCACAGCCCTAATTCCAATGTGCCTGCCAACGCTAACTGTTCCATCCGCCTGTTAACTGCGTCTCTGGTTGCTAAGTCACCTCTTTTCCTCGTTTCTACCCCGGTTGATCGGACGATCGCCACTACCGAGGGCAGTTGTGTATGGAAGTTCGAGATGAAACCATGGGGCGAACAGATTGATGAGTTGGTGCAGAAAGGGTCGTATGCAGACGCGTTAGCCCTCTTGAATACTCTGGATACTGCTGTGCTTCCCGACAAGGTAACCGGACGCTTGTAGATTTGGTTTTCTATTTCTCATTATTTTTAGGACGAGCGATGCACTCGAATACGTGCCCTGAATGCAGTTGCTCAGTTCCGCGCGGGGAAGTACGATGATGCTATCAATACTTTCCTAGAACTCGATCTCAACCCTGCCAAGGTGGTTGCTCTTTACCCGGAACGAGTGGCCGGTCGGCTGTCTGTCCCTCAGGATGAATGGATACCATTATTCGGTGGTCCTGCAAATCCAACTCCTAAACCTGAAGACTCGACGTCCGCAAACTCAAGCGATACCTCGAAAGAAGGCAGCAAGGAGAAAATTATCGAACGATCACCTTCTCCTACGGGTTCCGTTCGTGTGCGATCAAAGACAATGTTTGGTTCCTTACTACCGTCTGCAGCAAAGGACGACGACGTGGTTTCTCTGAGTGGTAGAAGGAAAGCTAAGCAGCCACTAGGTAACGGGGTCACGCTTGTGATTAAATGGCATCTGACAAGTGGGGAATCAGATGATTCCACCCGTGCCGTTGAAGTACTCTGGCGTTATCTAACAGACCGCAGACCGAAGGTTGCGGGAGCATTAGCTGCGGTTAACATTACGTCCGCCCAATCTCACCAATGGCCAACTCTTTCGGAAACTTCTACAGAGGAACTATTTTCTCTGCCCAACGTTCCTCTGACGTCGCTAACGCCGCAACAACTGATCCACTTCGCCCAAATCGTAGACACGGCACTGTTTAAGTCATATTTGCTTTACCGGCCTGCATTACTTGGTTCATTGTGTCGAGTTGCGAATTGGTGTGAAGTATCGGAAGTCGAGGAGGAGCTGCGCGCCCGTGAGGTGGGCGTTGGAAGTACTCAAGGGTTAACAACAACTAACTTTTTTTCAGAAATTTGCAGAGCTGATCTTCTTATATAATGGGAAGAAGATGCACGCGAAAGCCCTGGCACTCTTGCAGCAGTGAGTTATTGATTCGGCGGTCTATGTCATATTCCCGACAATTATTCACAGACTGAGCGAGAATGAAGATGATATTAGGGACAAGCTCGATCCGACGGTTTCTTATCTCCAGAAACTGGGGCCAGAGTACTTGGACCAGATATTCAAGTCTGCACGTTGGGTGTTTGACCAAGACCGTGAAATGGGTCTCCAGGTAATACAGCCATGAACCACATTTCGTTCTACCATATCCTGACGTCAACATCAGGTTTTCATGTCCGAGGATGTTGAACTTCCCCGTTCCCATGTGGTTGATTACCTGGAGAAGATTGACCCTCAAATTTCCGCACGTTATATTGAGTACCTTATTGAAGAGAAACATGAAGACGGTGGCATGTTGCATGATCGCCTTGCTGAGCTCTACTTGAGCATTACCATCAGTGCTAAGAAACGTGGGGACAACCGTAGGACTCTCTTCCCTTCAAAATTTGTAGGATGTAATGTTGTGATCTCGCAGAGAAACGGGACGAGACGTACGCGAAGCTTCTCCACTTCATCGACACGACCAACCATTACCATCCTGCCCGCCTATATGGCCGACTTTCAGAAGGTCGGTTAGTCGCATAGCGTAGCAGTGAAAGCTGATGATGCCTTCCACAGATCTTTACGAAGCACGAGCCATACTATTAGGTCGCATGGGAAGACATGAGCACGCCCTAGAACTGTATGCGTACAAGTTAGGCAATTTCCAGAAGGCCGAGGAGTATGATCGCCGTCACCATCTACGTATTGCAGTTGTTTACTGTCTTTTTAGGTACTGCAAACGTGTGTACCACCCCGATACTGAGACCAACACCGTATTCTTGACGCTGCTGAAACTTTACCTACGACCCACTGCGAAGGATCTTCCCAACCTCCTTCCACCTGCTCTGGATCTGATGAGAAGGCAGAGCCATCGACTAAATCCCGTCGAGACACTGCAACTACTTCCGCCTCTCGTATCAGCGGAGGAAGTGCGGAAGTTCTTGCAGCAGGCTCTGCGGATGCCAGTTTGTGATAGTCACGTTATTCGGGAAATCAACAAGGCGCGGAGCGAGCAGGTTGCCAGGACGTTGATGATCCTCGAATCTAGACGCGTCAAAGTGACGGACAGCAGAATGTATGTTACTATGTTTCCATAATGTATACTGACAACTGACTGGAATGATCTATTTTTCAGATGCCCCCAATGCCATAAGCGACTGGGAAGTAGTGTCATTGCAGTGCATGCGCCACGGTCAGTTTTCCGAGTTTGAGTGCTCTTAGGAGGTATTCATGCCACGTTACAGTGGAGAGGTTACCCACTATCAATGCCGAGAGGCGTTTTCTAAAAAGCTTAACTCACTAAGGCAAAGTTAAGGAAGTCCCGTACATTTTGCTTCGGAAGGACATTCGTGTCATCACTACACCACTAGGAACGTGCGGAAAAACCTATTTCCATTTACTATCAACCTCGAACGTATGCCAACTGGATCTCTGTGCTATCCAGTTCGTTGCGGGGTTGATGTAACTATTATGTACGTAGACGCTGCGAGATATTGACGTATCGTACAATCACTTCCATCCCCAGATAAGTGGAGCAGAGGTGCTTCCTGCTATCTATGGATCCTCGACCAAAGTAGCCAACGCATATACGGGGCGACTGACAAAGGAGAAAATTGTGGAAGCTAGCGCTACCTGGGTGTCCAAGCGCAAATCCACAATCGATGAATGTGACATAGCAGCAGCAGTCCGATAGATCTGGCGCCGTGTGAGATACCACCGAAAGACAGTTGGTGTAGCTGGCATTGAGTCAGGTCAGGTCGATGGTGGGAACCACTTTTCCAACTTGTTGATCATGTCTTCGACGCGCGTGAGGTATGTTACTAACACGTCCAATATGTCAGCATGACCAACATGAGGGGGGAAGGCGACTTGGAAGTCATCTTTGAAAGAAGCCCCTAGATCGGCCTTCGAATGGCTAATCAAACATGAGACCAACACAGAACGAGATACAAGATTGCCGTAGCTTACTCTTGCCGCTTTCCTGACTTCTCTCGTTCATACTCCCATTCAAGTATCGTCTTCATCCATGTTGAAACTTCCTCTTTTAACTCCCCAAATTCGGCCCTCTCGTTCTCGCTGAGATCCATCTGGAAGCGGAGAGAGGATGGCTGGCTGTAGCCTTCCAGACAACCGGGGAAAAAGTCATTCAATCGCTTTGCGAGCAGGCATGACTCGGGCGATGTCCACAGATAATGAATATACTGCGCAAAAGGTCTTCAGTGATACACAACGAAGTCGCCCAGCGACCCACTTACTGCTTGGCAGAGATTCTTCAAGAGGAGGAAATACTGTTTTCTCAAGGACTCGCTTTGTGCTTGACAAGATGCGAGAGCGCGGATCTCTTTCGTTGTCAACACCCTGACCTCCCGGTCGTCGGGCGGGCGCTCTATGTACAACTGGTTCAACGCGAGTATATGCCCTATTTTTTTGGTAGCGAACTGGCGCAATCCCTCGATGGTTGTAAGAACGTTGAGCAGATCGGGAATTTGACCAAGGATGAACGTTGGGTAAAGAATGTTTCGAATTGCATAGAACAACAAGGCAGGTGGTATGTCCGCGCTACCGCTGCCTACAGCCTCTGCTGTACCTGCAACTTCATCTGGAATTCAGGTAAGAAACAACCACGCAATAGAGTCGTGATACCGGCCATATATTGTGCGGTGCGCTAGAGTGTCAAACTCGTCCCAGTTAATTCGACATAGTTTTGCTTCCAACTGCTTTCTTTCCTCCGGGTTCATGAATACTTTGCGAGTGGATAGCGGATGGAAAGAACTTCGTGTGAAGCCAGAAAGTACGAACTTATCATTGTCCGACACTAAGTCGGTGATCGCGTCTCGATGTGGCCAGGGACCGTCCGCGCGACACGTGGCTGAGGTGCCAAACAATTGCAGCCACGCAGTACATGTACTACAAACGATACTTCATATAAGCAAGTAATGATGTGAAGTTAATCGTCTTCAGAGTCAGAATCACCAAATAAACATGGTCCGTCGTAAACCATAGCTGCGTTTTTCTCTGGAAAGGCATCGGATGTCCGGCATTCCAGTTCAGTCAGCAAGTGACCTCCCATCATTCGTGCCCCATCTCCTTCAGTAGGCCCATTTTTTTCCAGATAGGGAGGCCAGCTTCGCAACCGCGAGGATAGCTTGACGTCATCATCGAATGTGTTCAGATCGTGCGCCAAGGCATCCTCAAGAGGCTTGTGAACTGAACCAAACCGCGATGCAGTCCTAGAGAGGGAACAATCATTATCTCCGAAGTACTGATTAGACCCGACCGCCGTTTCCTTCGGTGAGGAATCTGAAACTGCACCAGTGAACATGCTGCTGGTGACATCTCTCCCTGTTTTCACGGAGTAACCAACGCCTTCCCTTCCTTTGGTAAAGTCGATCGGACATTCACTGGATGAAGTTACGTCAGATGTAACCTTCAAACGTTCCACTTGCAGAATCCTTCCAATAGTTGCCCAGGGATCCGGATCGGAAAGGAAGTCAAGCGGCAGGTGAGTCATAGGGACAATATCTGAATTGTCCTTTACAGGCTGCGTCTCATGAATACAACGTACCCGGTCAGGGCTGTCGGAAAATTCCAGTCCTCGGAACGTAGGCTGATGTGAAAGGAAGGAAAGCGACAACTCAGGACTTGAGTGGATCTTACTTCCAGAAAACTTGTCGCCGCTAGTAGAAATACGAGATAAGGGCTGAAAGTGCCCCAAGTCTGACCGGTGCCCCGAATCCTTCGATGGGTGCATGTGTTGTGTTGCCGGGAAGTAGTGGCCAAACATCATGGACTGCTCGTTAGACCATTCGGTTATAGGACTAGGGGGAGGCCTTGGTGAAGACTCGAACTCCAAGATCATGTCGCGATCAACATCCATAAAGGAAGAATCGGTGGTGAAGGGAGAAGACCGAGGAAGGGGCGAGAACTGATTACTTTGGGCACAGAGAGCGCCCTGAGTAGAGAAAGGTGCCTTCGAGTTTCTTCTCTCGGTATATCCACTGTCACGGAAATTCCGGGAAGCCATCCCCTCGTCTGTATTATTGTTTTCTGGTCGCTGTAAATGCTCGGTATCAAAAGGAGAATCCTGTGAAGAGACACACGAGGACTGTTTAGCCAATATATTCTTGCCCGAGATCAAGAAGTACTTGGTCGTTAGTTCCATATTCATCAGAACTGTCGTTGGCCGTTCTCGCGCCCCCGCAGGGCACTGTGTCCTTGTGAGTAACCGCTTGAGCACCAACTAGATCTGGTAGTTGAAGTATCCGATCGATAGCAGCTCGGATCGACATGTCTAACACAACAGATCCTTAGCGCCGACAAGGATTCGGAAACACAGAAGCATACGATCCGACGTATCCAATGCAGAGAGTACTTTGGATGGTCGTTTTCGGCCATTCTCGTTATCAGAAGATAACGTATAATACTGATTGAGGGGGACATGTGGAGACCTTCTAGTGTTATGGGGTGCGTGGGCGAGAGATATCTCGGACAACAAAGAAGCTGAACGCAATGGACCGGAATTACGACGATCCCCAGGACTACGGTGTCCTAGAGCATTCGCTAGACGTTGTTTTACAAAGTGTCGTTTTTGTGCACGGCCAGCCGCGTCTTTTGTCTTCGCACGTACTGCATTTCTAGGCGTCGTGCTTTAACTCTGATAATGTGGGTAGCAGGTCCAGTCAAACCTTTTTCCACCCATGTAATTAGCACCGACCATGGTTGCTGATTGGCAGTTGAGTTGGTGGTCAAATGATGATGGTGGCTGCTACGTAATTGATTCCGATACCATAACAGCAAATATGACCATAAGCATGCTCCCACCTTCCTCGCCTGCTGGCCCAACCATCACCCTGACGCTCTCCACGTATGGAAAGCCGGACAGTCACGCTCAGAAAGGCGGTGGGCGAGGCGCCCGTAAATACTAGACTTGGTAATTGACCCCCTTGGGACCCAAGACACCGCAAACTTACCCGAGGTATAATTTAACGGCTTTGCATATATTATAATGAATCACGAAAAATGGCCACGAAAATGTAGATACGAGCCTGACATACTACAAAGTATCTACCACTTATCTAGGAATAGGTCATCATCATCACTCTCTTCGTCAGAAAACACCCTACACTGTATTTTTTGAAGCTTCGCTCTTGGCCACTGTCGAGAACAGTGGAACTTCAATTGCAGCTGCTTGTTGAAAGCCGAGACCGAAGCTTCACATTATGTAATTGTGTAAGCCACACCTCTCGTGGAGCGCTGCCTGCCCTTGCCCGCCTGCCATAGATAATTCCATAGCCACTGACAAGTTAAAAATGCTGCTGGCCCACCACTACTCCCAACCCACATCCGCATTTGGTATATATTGAGATTTCCCACCCTACTGCCCTGTAGTCCCCTGGGTCAGCTCCCTTGCCCTACCGGGCTCTATCTTCTGCTGGCATGCATCATATATGATCATTAACATGAAGTATAAGTATATTAGAGCATAATTGAACACTTAGTCGAGTATACTAGTGGCCCTGAATAGCTTGGAAATGAGATAGGGGTAAAAAGCCAAAAAGCGGACGCTTTTCTGATATATTGGACATATCTACTTGGTTTTCATGTCTCCTTCAAGGTAATATGTATGCCTACAGCATATCCAAAGTTCATAGCCTTTGATGGAGTACTTTACATGTGGTGACACAATCTCCTCCTCCCTGTATTTCACCATAGAAAATTTTTTCTGGGTCTTTTTGTGCTGGTACTGTGATGTAACATGGTATAGTAGTTACACTTCGTGAATTGGTGCATAATTGGACCGCCCATCAGGTGGCTGAGAAGCTCTGAATTGCTAGAAACGATTTCAGGGGTTACAGACAAAAAAGTGTTCGCAATTTTGCTACATTTGATATGGGCATTTGAGAGGGACATCCCCTTGTAGTGGCCCTCTGTACCTATATGATATCACAAGCTCATTGAATGGGGTGGAGCTCCTGAGGTGTTGTGCCATGGTCTTCCCCTGCTGGTATTTGGGGGCTCCATCAATTTCCAGGAAGTATATTGCTATTCCGACTATCTAGGGATCTATTGAATACTTATTCACAACCAAAAAAATAAATACCAAGTCCACAGCAGAAGGGGAGAGAGCAGGGGAAGGAAAACAATCACCCAGAGAGCGTGGGAAAATGCGCGAAAAGTTGCGGAGACTTTTAGAACATATCAAAAAGATGGAATGGTACATCATACACAGTGTCTGGTACTCAATGGATGGAGTACCATGTTCCCCTTGGTCATGGGACATGCCTTCATGTAATATAATACCTGCATTACCCAGAGAACCCAAAAATATGTGAAAAATGATACATGTGGACTTCTGATCCAGTAAATACATTTCACTACTGAGGATAAGAGACTGGTACCAAGTCTCAAGTTCTGAGGGTGTGACACACTGAAGTAGGCGTAATATAATTCTAGGAGGAGCTATCAGATGTTAAAATCCCAGTACTACCATCCATTGAGCACCAGACACTGTGTATGATGTACCATTCCATCTTTTTGATATGTTCTAAAAGTCTCCGCAACTTTTCGCGCATTTTCCCACGCTCTCTGGGTGATTGTTTTCCTTCCCCTGCTCTCTCCCCTTCTGCTGTGGACTTGGTATTTATTTTTTTGGTTGTGAATAAGTATTCAATAGATCCCTAGATAGTCGGAATAGCAATATACTTCCTGGAAATTGATGGAGCCCCCAAATACCAGCAGGGGAAGACCATGGCACAACACCTCAGGAGCTCCACCCCATTCAATGAGCTTGTGATATCATATAGGTACAGAGGGCCACTACAAGGGGATGTCCCTCTCAAATGCCCATATCAAATGTAGCAAAATTGCGAACACTTTTTTGTCTGTAACCCCTGAAATCGTTTCTAGCAATTCAGAGCTTCTCAGCCACCTGATGGGCGGTCCAATTATGCACCAATTCACGAAGTGTAACTACTATACCATGTTACATCACAGTACCAGCACAAAAAGACCCAGAAAAAATTTTCTATGGTGAAATACAGGGAGGAGGAGATTGTGTCACCACATGTAAAGTACTCCATCAAAGGCTATGAACTTTGGATATGCTGTAGGCATACATATTACCTTGAAGGAGACATGAAAACCAAGTAGATATGTCCAATATATCAGAAAAGCGTCCGCTTTTTGGCTTTTTACCCCTATCTCATTTCCAAGCTATTCAGGGCCACTAGTATACTCGACTAAGTGTTCAATTATGCTCTAATATACTTATACTTCATGTTAATGATCATATATGATGCATGCCAGCAGAAGATAGAGCCCGGTAGGGCAAGGGAGCTGACCCAGGGGACTACAGGGCAGTAGGGTGGGAAATCTCAATATATACCAAATGCGGATGTGGGTTGGGAGTAGTGGTGGGCCAGCAGCATTTTTAACTTGTCAGTGGCTATGGAATTATCTATGGCAGGCGGGCAAGGGCAGGCAGCGCTCCACGAGAGGTGTGGCTTACACAATTACATAATGTGAAGCTTCGGTCTCGGCTTTCAACAAGCAGCTGCAATTGAAGTTCTAGAGTGCGCTTGACAGCTACCGAGATACTGAAGGTTCATTTTCACAGTACTGCCTGGCAATTGATATGATCATCGATGCCCTGAATAGCAGCGATTCTGAGCACACTTTTGCACTGATGCTCTCCCAGCAAGGCATGGTATTAGTGGAAGGCAAGTACCTGTGGTACTTGATACATTATGTAGTACTACAGTAACTAGGATGTCATTACTTTGACCTTGGCAGAGTCTGCATAAATACCTATAAACACCCATGTGTATTTTTCTGGGGCTGTCCCGGGTCCCAAGGTGGCCGACTACCAAATGCAGTAGGTGTACGGCACATCTCCTACCATGTACCTGAGCGTGACCGTCTGGCTTTCCATACCACGGTCTTCCGGGTGCCCACCCATCCGTCTTGCACTACTAATGACGCTGGAGTTTGATGCAAAAGCAAATCTCCAGGAACAGGACATTGGTTTGTACTACTCGCCAAGCACTTTGACTTTCTCGGACGCAGAAACATCGAGTGCAGTTTCTCCCTCTCGGCAAGCCTCCCAAGTTCATCTCGAGTTGTCCTTGACATCACACCATGCTCTTGCCCATCTGAAATCAACATCCACGTCCAACGTGATGGAGGTTCACGATGAGAAACGCGTGTCTCACCAACGGACGCTTTCACAATCACGCAGTCTTTCCCTTCTGATGCAGAACGGTGGCGGGCAGAAGAGCACGGAAGTCGGTTCATTTGATTTCCCGCATGATAAGGTTTTGAAGATGCGACAGTGGGTACTCGCTTTCGCCGTAGGTAAGACTGCTCCTGTCATATACCTCCTGGAACGCAGACCGTTTCAATATTGTAGTTGATTTCGACCTTGATCTCGGACCTGTTGTTCGATCCGTATGCCCCCCTGTATATCTATCACCCTCCGAAACAGAGAACATGTCTGTCGTATCATTTATCTCGGCTTCTAATCGAACTGATGACACGCAAAAGTGCCTTTTCTGCTTTTCCGGACTCGCTGCAATTCGATCAAGGGACAGAGGTTCACTCGTTTAGGATAAGAGTATTTCCAGACTCTCTTCATACACCTTGCCAGGATTCTTTCAAGAGACCGGAGCCACTGGATGGCTTCATGTATGGCTTTTCATACTTCAGCCAAAAACGAGATTCGAACTCCAAACGCGGGTATCGACAGGTATCAGGGCATCTTCTCTGATATGAACTTGGCCGAATATTTACCTTCAACCCAGTCTTCGTTGGTGCTTCTAACGCATCATCAATACCCAGCCTTCTTCACGAGCGTAGTCTCAAAGCTTGGGCCCCTTTTTCAAAACCATGGCATTACTATGTTGGAAACAGGGTGTTACAACGTTGCAAATTGGTGCGTACACGGGCCAGCCGTCCATTAGATCCCGCTGATACCCTCTGTTAAAGCAAGGCCGAGCCCGTCGCCAGGCTCCACTCTCGAACTCGGTTTCCTAGGATCTGTGCTCCACGTCGAACTGCCAACGAGCATCGATAGTCAGCAGCTCGTTGAAACTGCCTCTTTTGGAGGAGGATTCGATCCTACAGAGCATGTCAGTCTGCTCTTTGTTCTTGCTGATGCATAAGTTGACTGGTGTTTAGTTGCTGGCATCATCAGTGCCGCTCTACCCTCCTTCGATCAACTTGTTTGAGGCTTCGTTGTCCCATCTGTGGTCTGTCTGGGAATGTTTAATATTATGTGAGCCCATATTGGTCTACGGCCCTTCGCCTTCCATGACAAGCCAGGCCGTCTGGTGGCTGCGCGATCTTATACGCCCCGTGTGTATTCTTTCGAACTCGAACCATTTTTGAGAGATGACCATTTGGGGTAGATTCCATTGGCGGCAGATATCCGACCATACTTTACTATTCATGACAGAGATCATGCATTGCTGGTGAACAAGTCTCCCCCAAAAACGGGTTTAGTCATTGGTGTCACAAATCCGTTCTTTGAAAAGTCGTGTACTCATTGGCCCCATGTTTTGAGCGTGGGACGGAAAACAAGGTGAGCTTCTCGGGCCAAAAAGAAGTCGAGACTCAGATTTAAGGTTATCGTCAGACCAGGTACCACGGTTGTCGCTGGTCCCAGTGCGGGATGGATGACTAAAACTCATCGGCGGTACATCTCCAAAGATCGTCAACTACTGAAACGTCTTGAAAAGGCGTGCACCTCGAGCACGTCGGACAGTAAGTATTTCGAATATATAACCGCGAGTACACGGATGTATGCGCTTCTTTTTTTTTGCAGGAATGCAAGCTTCGTTGGAATTGCGAAGACATTTTTGTTCCCGCACCAATGCCGTTCTCGTGCCATTGAATCGTTATCTCAACACTCTCATACCATCGCCAGCGGAACGTAATAAGACTCTGTGTCTCCGCCGACTGAAACCATTCAATACCGCCGAGTTCTTTTCGTCATTGAGGTCGAGTCCCTCTGCCCTGCCTTTCAAGTCCTCTTCAAAACAAAGGGAATTTTATGAGAAGTGGCTACGAACTCCTGCCTTCGGGCTGTGGTTGGCTCGTCAGGAAGAGGTCGTGCAGGATGCACTGCGACAGAAGACATGAAGTGGTGATCTTTGATTGATGATTAGTACTATCATGTGCTTGTGTGCCCTTGCTGTGTAAATTGTTGATGACATGGCAAGTGAATGTGCCACACGTAACAAAGAGTGACAAACATGGCCGAGGTTATACATCCAAGAGGGTGCAACGAGTGAGAAAACCCATCTCTGTTTGTTTCCTTTGCCCTGCTGTCGTCATCCTCGCCGCTTCACGGACGCATTCGACATTCTTGTTCGCTGTTAAGCGGTGGTTGTCGGTGTCTACTATCAGCTACTGTCCTGGTTCTCTACAGAACTATATAACGGCGGAGGAGTGCGTCGTAGTCACTGTCACTGTATCCATACCTTCCCATGTAAGACGTCTTCCATCTGTCCACGTCACTGATTTTCGTAGCGCGCAAAAATCCTGTATACGCGCATTTTCTGTCGTTGCTGTCTCTGTCGTCGGTTATATTGTCATTTGGGTACTCAACAAATCCTGTCATTCTACTTTCTAGTGCAAAAGAGTTTCTATTCTCCACGAATTCTGCGTCTGAGTCATGCCTGAGGACGATTTTGACATCTACGGCGAAGACGACGGCTTCGTGTTGCACACAGATGACCAGGTAGGTCCTGGTTCACACAGCGCATATAGCTTGTCTGCTGACTTGGAGAAACCGCCCGTGCGCTTCAAGGGTGACCTACTGCAAGACGAGGTCCAGGTAGAAGAACCTGTCGAAACTGTGGCCACCACTGTTGAGCCATCAACCGGCAACAAGCGTCCCCGGGAGGAGGAAGGACAATACTCTCCCTCGGAGTCACGTTCTACTCCAGTAAATTCACAAGCCAAGACCGAGCCTACTCAGAACGGCACTGCGAACGGTAATTATAGCCCAGGCATGGCTAACGGTGGACAGATGGGCGGTGGAGGGGACCCATCTGTGGCGGGTTACGATGCGCTGTATATCGGAGATTTACAATGGGTCCGTTTTGTCCTGTCGATTAGTCCATGTTGGCGTTATTCTTATCCCTCTTTTTCGTTTCGTTTGTCGTTGTCGGCAGTGGACTACGGATGAGGACCTCCGTCAGGTCGCTCTCAACGTTGGAATGAACGTTGACCACCGGAACATCACATTTTCAGAGCATAAAGTCAACGGGAAAAGCAAAGGGTGAGGTCATGTGGCCCCTGTTCATACTGGCAGAGGTCCCTTAACGTTGTACAGAGTTGCATATGTAGAGTGTGCCAACTTCGAAGCTGCCAATGCTATCAAAACGTGGTTTGACAACAAGTAAGTTCCCTCGTAGTCGCTGCCAGAAGTCGTTCAATGATGTCATCTATTTCTAGCGAGTTTCAGAACAGACGAGTAACAGCAACGCTTACTAATTCTGCACAAGGGAATCCATTCCGCACACTACCGAAAGGTGAGTCACCCGTCCTTCGCATCACATTGACAGGAGACATACAAGTCCAACCAGAACCACCCCCACGCGAGCTGAGGATGGGACAGCAAAGTGGTGGGACGGCCTCCGGAGGTGCCGGGACTGGTCGCGGAGGAGGCACATACCGAGGAGGCGGCCCCCAAACGGGCGGCGGGGGTGCACAGAATGTAATGGGTATGCAGCGTGGTGGAATGATGGGCGGTATGATGCGTGGTGGCATGCCTGCTATGATGGGTAATATGGGAATGGGGGGCATGAACATGCCTATGGGACCAATGGGTGGTATGGGGATGGGTAATATGGGTATGGGTGGCTTCGGCGGCATGGGTAGTGGCTTTGTCGGAGGACGAGGGGGGATGATTCCCCAAGGCCCTAGAGGAGGTGGGATGATGGTAGGAAGTAGAGGAGGCATGGGAGGCATGGGAGGCATGGGTATGGGCTTCTAACGATTCGTTGTCTGGCATTGTTCTTATATCCACCCGATGTATTTGTATAGGTATGGGAATGGGCGGTGGTGGCCGCGGTGGCTTCAGCATGCAAGGTCACTTCAATCCGGCCTTTATGCAAGGCGGGCAGGGAGGCCAGTATGGGCCTACCAAGCGCTTCCGAGCAGATGAAAGCAGTTGAAGGTACATAATACTCGCACAGCTCACTGACATGGTAATACTCTACATCTGAAGTTCATATTCTCTTCGTCGAGCTTTATGTATTGATGTAACATATGAGCCTACATAACTTAGATGATATAAAGGTGCCCGTGGAGCGTGCAGGAAAATAGATGTGTGGATACAGCATTGTTGGGTAATGGAACATATGCACAAGATATCAAACAATAGACGCGGTAAGTAGTGATGAATGCGTCTGGACCTATATATCACATTTAGATATGTAGCTGTGAATTGTGAAATGCAACAAGGTCGACGATTCCACTGGGGGTATCTGTCCTCCGGGAGAAAAGCACAAGTTAGAACAGTCCATGCATAGCCTAATGAATACCGTAGTATGGTCTAGGCGCGTTTCTCTCTCAACTCCTTCTCGCGCTTCCTCCTGCGTTTCTCTTCTTCGTGGCGTTTCTCTTCTAGCAAGGCAACGTCATCCTCACGTTTAGCGAGGCGGGAACTGAATACATGAGATCAGGCACGAAACGCCAGTGATGGGATGGGCTAACCTTCTTAGCTCCTCCTTCATGACAGCACTTGCATCTGCTTCCATATCATCATCGTCACTGTCAATGTCCCTTGTCACATAAGCAGCCCGGTCCCTTCCGAATAGTTTCCATATTTCAGAACGGATAGCATCAGCAGGTGACTCTGCACGCCGCTTGGGCGGAGGGGACGCTGAACGCGACGAAGATTGCGCCCGCTTCTTTGGCAGTACGGGAGCAGTGACAGGCCTCGAGGCCGACATTGACTTCGGTGGCTGTGGCTTTATCGACGTCGAAGACCCTTTCAAATGGGCAGGCTTTGCCCCAGGAGAGGATGCACCCCTAATATCATCCCTCGCCGACTTAGCAGCGGATACACCCGTCTTTGCGGGGATAACAGCTCTAGGCTGAGCTCCGGACGAGGCAGATTTGCCAGCAGAGGGCACAGTGGCCACCTTTGAAGTCGTTGAGGCTTTCGACGTTGGGTGTGAAGTCGACTCTGCGAAGTGTTACGACAGTCGTGGGGGTGAGCGGGCATGGAATGCCACTTACTTGCGCTCGACGGCAACGGAGACGCCGCCCCGGAGGCGAGACCCGAGCCCTGGCCACTGGAGGACTGAGAGCTACCGGGAACATGTTCCATTTTCTTGGACTTTCCAAACCAGTCGTTAAACTCGCGAGCTTCGTCACCGTCGAGTACGCTATGCTTGGCTTTTGCTCTGTCCTGGAGAATTTCGTCGATAGTCCTCGTGTCCCGCTTGTTCACGTTGAGCTTCGTGAGAGTGTTGGGCAACGATGCAAGTCGTTCCTTCACTGACTGCGCACTAGACCCAGAGTCGGCAGAGGGGGCTGACGTGGCGTCAATGGCTCCCCCTGGCAGTGGTCTGCCTGCCTTTCTGTAGCCCGCCGTAGTTGAAGAGCGCTTAGCGGAATACGAGCGCCGCATTTCAGCCTCGAGTCTGCGTTGCCGCTTCTCCTCCCTTGTAAGCGCCATAGCAGGTGAGCCGGAACGCGAGTTACTCTCGTCGTCCGATGGGAGTCTGCGTTTTCGGATCTCGTCTTTCGCCGTTCCGTTAGAGGTCGGCCATTTGGTTTTCTTCGGTCCATATAGCAATGCGTTTCTAGCCTCCTCTTCTCGGCGTGCTGCCTCCGCCCCCAGCCGTGCCAAGTCAGCCGCTCGTTTCGCCTCCAACTCCTGCTGTTTCTTCTCCTCCTCGAAGTGTTTCTTGCGTAGTTTATCTTGTTCCTCTCTTTCCTTCCGTAAACATTCTTCCTGCTTCTTCCGTTTCATTTCCTCGTTTCGTTGGCGCTCGAGTAATGCAGTTTGGGCTGCGCTCTGTGCCTCTTTAGTCTGCGAGGCACTTAGTGCCATTAAAGTTTCCCAACGGGTCATGGAGATCGATAACTGTCCTACCCAGGACACCAGAAACCGGAGTGGACTGTGGTGAGGTAGGAGGGTCTCGAGGACAAGAGATGCGATGCCAGCGGAGTGCTTTGGTCCACTTTATGAGACTGATGGCAGTGCACCCTTTATTTGTCGTTGTTTGACACTGCATGAGCGAACTTCTTGGAACAGCCGCAACTGTAGTGGAGATCACAACTGATCGGGGCGCAGTGGACAGGTCGTCGGATTCATAAATGCGTACATATCCGATAGATGTACAGCCTATCTATCGTGCTGGAAATAGTAATAATTCGAGGGATTTCGCAAGCCATTACTTTCCCTACAACCTTCGGGGTAGAAGGAGAGACACTCCAATACCGATGACGACGATGACGAGGAGGTAGTAGTACACGAACCACGCGTGGGATGGCGTCTCGATCGAGAGCGAGAATATCGACGTTGCAGATGCAGGTCCAATGCTTCGCATGATTGAAACCAACACCTGAGCGAGTCCGTTGGTCGCACCAAGGCAGCCGCGGTTGGGAGACGCAGCTGCAATATAGATGAGTATGCAAGCTGTACCGACGTGTCAGTACCGTTGTTACTAGTCCATTTCGTTTGAGTGACTCACAAAAACCAAGGTTTAAAAGCACACAACATGCAATCTGAACACCAATCACACACCAAACTGCCCAATTCAACCCATATGCTCTCGCCAGGGCATTGATCACCGGGCACGTCAGGACAAATGGAATGCCACATAGCACCGCAACAGTGTAGATGGCTTTGGAACCAAACCGATCGTGCAAGCTTGCAAAGAAAAACATCTGGAAGAGCCCGCTTAAGGTGCCATAAGCTGCAAGTATGTTGCCGATTTGAGGTGGATCGAGACCAAGACCACCGAGTTCAATGGGGGTTGCATAGAACAATGGTTGCACCGCGCGGAATGCAATATCAATAGTCGACAAAGCAGCATAATTTCCTGCGGTGATTAACACCCGAGGAATTAAAAGGGCGCGAAGAGGCAGCGGCTTAATCTCGTCGTTTTCACCGGCGGTGAGCATCCCAGTGGAGGACTTGGGTGATTCAAAACCTGCCTTATCAAAGCATCGCGAGAAAAATTTCGATTGCATCAGTTGTCTGAGGGAAACGCTATTTGGTAGAGTCTTGAATTTTACATGATAGCATATTCAATGAACAGGCAAACTGCATCACTACGTCACGCACCTCTCTCAGGAATAAAGACGTCACTATCCAAGCGATCGCCGTGAAAGTCGCTGGTATTGCGCATGCAAGGAAGTAAGGGTATTCTCTCAAAAATTTCACGTGCCCAAGTACGTTGGGAAAACGATCGGCAGGGCGAACGAAGAAGCCTCCAATCAAGGGACTGAGGACATGGCATCAATGCGCGGATCACACACCCTAAGTGGTGGCGTACCCTAGCGTGCTGCCACTCGACCAAGCGATTGGCGTGTAAGCATAAGCCTGTGCCAGGTTCGTCTCATCGGTGATTTCCACTATCATACTCTTCGCGGCGCCAATATTACCGTTCAGAGCGCCAGTAATGGAACGGCTATAATATGCATGAGAAGTTTGAACAAATATGGGTGCGAGCCAGGCAGAATTACTGACCTCAGCACCAGACCAACGAAAGTCTTTGATAAACCAAAGCAATACATCGAAAGGGATAAACCAAAAAGGCCCGTCAGAAGGACGGGCTTCCGACCAATGTGATCAGATACCCGGCTCCAATGAAAGACGGTGAGAGCCTGCGTAGCAAAGAACAAGGAGTGCTGCGATCGCCTCAGTTCAGTGCAAGGATCTCGTATATCGAGTTAGGGAGACACTCACCAGGAGTCCGACGTAGAACCCGACCTTGGTTTCGTCCCCACGGGTGACGCCAATATCTCGGATTAACTGTAACACATTGTCAATCACACAGCACATACCCGACGATCAACATACCTGAGGAGCGAGAGGCGATATGAGTTGGGAGGTGAGGGGTTCGGACAGTTGTAGGAAAAGTATAATACTGAACTGACGCCATGGCAAAGGGGTCCTGCGCCGCTTTTGCTCTTGAACGTGCAACAAGGGAGTCTCTTCGTCTACTGCGTGTGTCATGGAAGTGGGTGAAAGAGTTGCAAGAAAGTGAACATTCGTCGGTACTCTGGCACCTCTATACAGGGCCAATCGAGCAGTTATCACTGTCCGATCGTCGTCCTATTCTTGTTCCAGCTCAAACCTGCGCATCACAGAGGACTGGAGAAGCTCGAGGATTGGATTTGCGATTTGTTGGCAATTCGCCCTCAGCGTTCCGACTGCTTGTTTTCGTCAGCACATGACATACAGGGAACAAGGTCGTCGTACAGTGCAATACGTGCGTCGTAAGTATCAATCACGTCGTAGCTGACAGCAGGTTGCTTGCTTTGTTGCTATGAGTGTGCGGTCATGCACACCTCCAATGCGGTGTTATTTGTCCGTACCCAATTCCGCGCCACCTTGAAAGTGTGGTTTAAACAAGACTCTAATGATGCAAATATAGTCACGATCTCACGGTCTACCAGCTGTTGCTCATTCAGCTCACCCACGTGCGATCCAACCGAAACAAGGCACCTCAGGAAGCGTCGTAAAGCACTGGCCCACATCTCCGCGGCAAACCTACCGCGTCTCGATTTCGACCTGCAGGAAGCCTACAGAGTACCGGTAAGGCTGTTGCAGCACTCACAATCGAAGCCAAGGGGAAGCGGACATTCTGCCATTGGCACATGTAGGTATATCGAAAGCGATAACGTGGTCAGTGTATGCAGTTTCCTACATCGCCAACATTCTTACCTGAGACCCCTGATGGTTCTCCGGCCGAATCCCCGTGCTTCCGGTCAACCTACATCCACGCCACACGATCCCACAGTTCGTGGGACTTCTTCAATCTGGGAAAGTGCAAGATGGGAATCGACTCTACCTATGTTGGCCCCTAACCTGGCTTACTCGTTTCGTTGGCCTTGGAGTAATGTAGTCTGCCCTGCTTTATGTGGCTCTTTAGTCCGTAAGGTACCCAGTGTCACCAATGCAGCGTAACAGGTCATAGCGATCAACAACTGTTTTGCCAAGGACACCTAAGTGGAAGACGAAACGGTGTTAGCAGCAAGATAGCAGAGTACTTGTTGTGTATGGTTTGTTTGTAAACCATTCTGGAAGTAGGTCCTTCGATATCATGATACTATTTATAAGTCGGGCTAGTGTCCTCACCTTTCCTTGACCCACACGCTTCGAGTTAAGCGGCGTTGATTGGCGCATTGGTGATCTATGGGTACATGTCTCCCTCCTCGCTGCTCTCCTTCTGCCAATGGGTGAGGAGAGGCAATGCGTGGGCATGTTTTTGACTATAATGACAACGCTAGCCCGCATTGTGTACCTTCTAACGGCTGAATTCCTGCAGGCGAAATACATTCTCCTATTGCACATGTCTGATCTCGGTCGTCCAGGCATCATCAATCACGGCCGTGAAGTAACTCCCAACCGATCTTCCAATTACCTTCGTACACGCTCACCCCGTCGGGCAAGGCACTTAGATGTTTAGTTTTAACCTACTTCATGGACATTGGCGAGGCTACCGTCTTCAAGGATACCCATGTACCTCAGACACTTGACATTCGGCGCCACATTTTGTCTAACGAAAGCTTTGGCGCCTGAGTTATTCAACTGTGTATATAAAAATTAGCTCCCAAAAACTACCCTCTGACATCTCAGCGATAATGGTACAAAAGGAGAGAGGTCACCCTTACGACAACACAAGCAACGGTGGTGAAGGAACCTAGGCACAGGAAGAGGCAGCTTGTTGCGGACAAATCACAGCGAGTGAACTTCTTCCGAGAAGCCACTGCCCTGATGTGACTCTGCTGCAAGGGTCGCCGTAGACGATGGTGTCGGCCGAAACTGAATGCAAATGATTGTGGGTACATGGGTCATGAGCTGCGGGAAGCTCGCTGAGCGGCGTGTGCCCAGCGCTGAAATTTGAACAAGTGAGCATGCGGGATAACTCTAAGAGTAGGCAGATGGCACGAGCCACCTTCCAAGTCGTACACAGCAGCAGCAGATCGATTTGCCACTGCAATTTTCCTGCGGCATCTGATGCGATTTGAGGGTCGACAGCCATCATTGCTTAGCACTGCACTGGTCGTGGTGGTTCGTAAGTACTGCGTACATATCGAATATATGCATAGTCTATCTATCGTGCTGGATATGGTGATCATCAAAAGACAAGACACGAACGCTCATGCCTTGCAAGTGGTCATTACTTTTTCCACATTTTGCGGGGTAAAAGGAGTGATGCTCCAATGGCGATGAAGATGACAGCGAGGAGGAAGTAATACACGAACCATGCATGGCCTGGCGTCTTGATCGAGAGCGAGAATATCGACGCTGCAGACGCGGGTCCTATGCTTCGCATGATCGAGACCAACATCTGGGCAATTCCATTAGTTGCACCGAGGGACCCGCGGTTGGGAGACGCAGCCGCAATATAGATGAATATGCAAGCTGGTACCAACGTGTCAGCAACTGGGATTACTAGTCCGCTTCGAAAGGGTGACTCACAGTAACCAAGGTTCAACGACATGCTACATAAAACCTGCACACCAATCATACACCAGACTGCCCAGTTCAACCCATATTCTCTCGCCAGGGCATTGATCAATGGACATATCAGAACGAATGGAATCCCGGACGACACAGCAAAGGTAAAGATGGCTTTGGAACCAAATCGATCATGCAAGTCTGCGAAGCAGAAGATCTGGAAAAGCCCGTTCAAGATGCCATACGTTGCAAGTATGTTGCCGATTTGAGGTGGATCAAGACCAAGACCGCCGAGTTCAATGGGGGTTGCATAGAACAACGGTTGCACGGCGCGAAATGAAATCTCGATAGTTGAGAGAGCAGCGTAATTTGCTGCCGCAATTAGTACCCGAGGAATTAGAAGAGAACGAAGAGGCAATGGCTTATTCTCGTCATTTTCGTTGGTGATGAGTGTCTCACTCGAGGGCTCCGGAGATTTTAAACTTTTCTTATTACTCCATTGGCGAAATTTTGATACGATCAGCTCTCTGAAGGGGACGCTGTTTGGTAAGGTCTTGAAATTTAGACAAAGCGTTTAACAAACTACCAACAGGCATCATTCGAATCACGTACCTCCTTCAGAAAGAAGAACGCCACTATCCAGGCGATTGCCGTGAAAGTCGCTGGTATTGCACATGCAAGGAAGTAAGGGTATTCTCTCATGAATTCCACATTCCCAAATACGTTAGGAAAACGATCAGCTGGGCGAGAGAGGAAACCTCCAATCAAGGGACTGAGAAGAATATCAGTGCGTGCATCACACTCTAGGTAGTAGATGGCGTACCCTAATGTGCCACCGCTCGACCAAGCAATAGGCATGTAAGCATAAGCCTGTGCCAGGTTTGTCTCATCGGTGATTTCCACCATCATACTCTTCAGGACGCCAATATTACCGTTTAGAGCACCATTGAGAGCACGGCTGTGCTAAAAGTTTAAGCAGACATGGATGCGAGCCGGACGGAACTCCTGACCTTAACACTAGGCCAATAAAGGTCTTAGATAAGCCAAAGCAGTACATTGAAAGTGATAAGCCAAAAAGGCCTGTCAGAAGGACAGGCTTCCGACCGATGTGATCAGATACCCGGCTCCAATGAAGAACGGTGAGAGCCTGCGTAGCGAAGAAGAGGGAGTGCTGCGGTCGCGCTAGTTCAATGCAAGGATCCGGTACATCGAGTCGGTGGGACACTCACCAAGAGTCCGACGTAGAACCCGACCTTGGTTTCGTCTCCATTCGTGACGCCAATATCCCGTATTAGCTATATTCCACATTGCAATGTCAATCATGTAACATCACGACCACTTGATGGGCGACATACCTGAGGAGCGAAGGGCGATATGAGCTGCGAAGTGAGAGGTTCAGCTAGTTGTAGGAAAAGTATGATGGTGAACTGCCGCCACGGCAAAGGGGTCCTGCCATGCTTTTGTTGATGATCGTGCAACAAGGGAGTCTCTTCGTCCACTGTGCGTGCCATGGGAGTGGGTGGAAGAGTTGAATACGAGTGAATGTTCGTAATCAATTGATAATTTTACTACCACGCCCTCAGTGAGTCACTGTAGAAACGTCATTTACCTCTTAACGGGGTTCCTGGAGGAGACAGGGTTCGCTGCTGAGTAAGGCGGCAGTTCGGCTTCGGGTTCCGACTCCATGGTTTTTCCGGCACGTGACTCAAACGTGACTACCCCTCGGGATAGGGGAACGATGCGCCGCCAACGGTGGAACGCGTCCCCAAAGCGTAAAAACCCTAAAATCTACCAATCCCCTCGTAGCTGAAATTTGGGTAGTTTGCTTTGTCGCTACACATGCGTGCGCGACCATTGTTCACCTCCAAGGCGTATTATTTGTTCGTCCACACTTCCCCGGCACCTTTCAAAGCGTGTATTAAACACAACTCTGGAATCAAACGTAGTCACGGCCTTACTGCCTATCAGTCCTTGCTGCTGCGAATTATTGCATTCTTCCAAAATGCTTTCCAACCCAAACAAGGCGCTCCCATCAATTCCGTCGAGCACTGGTCCGCGCGCCTGCAGAGCGCCTATCGTGACCCCGCATCTTTCTGCAGAAAGTGCGCAGGGCATCAGTAAGGCTCTTCCAGCAATCAGAGTCGAAGAGACACTCTCCCAAGAGGAAATGGACAACTTGCACGACCATTGGAACGTGTCTCGACGGTTCGTGAAGGAAACGGTGGGTTCCACTTCTGTTCCTGTGAATCACAGACCCAGGTAACTGTCATTAGCACGTGTATCGCAAGAGACAACTTGGTCAACATATGCAGTTTCCCGTATCGCCGATATTCTTGCCCGATGCCACTGACAGCATTCCTGCCACACCTCTCTCTGCCTCCAGTCAATCCACATCACGATCCCACAGGTTGTGGGGCTTCTTCAAGGGCAGGTGCGATACAAGAGTCACTTTGCTTGTGACGATCCCTAACCTGGTTCGCAAATAGGAGCACGCCCACGAGTCAGCCAAACCAAAAGAGCGCGAACGTATTGGAGTCCTTTCGGTGCAAAGCACAGCAAAACCTGCGAAGAAGGGTGAAAAACACTATCTCCACGCCTGATATACGCAGTAAGGCCAGGCGTGCTGTGAAACCTGGAGTGGCAGCCCCGCCCCCCGCATCCACGTTGTTACCGCAAACCCCTCCCCCCAGAACAGTGGAGGAATCCGAAGTCTTAACGCAGGAGGAGCTTATGACGGACAAGAGAGGGATCTACTTGACGCTCGATCCGGATTGGCGGATCTCCCGTGGCGAGGCACTGCTGAGTTTTCTGTCGCCCATCCCACATGACTATGACCCGTTCAGGCCGGACTCTCCAATCCTGCACAGGCATCAATCCCTTTGCGACCTGGCCATGTTGGCACCGAAGCCATCTGGGGAGCCAAACCCTGACAACCATGATGAAGCCTACACTTACTCGATCGACGAATTGCATTCCTTTGTCCTGCTGATGGATTAATCGATAAATCACCCACCTTCCTTCCACAAAAACGTTCTTTATCAAATTGCAATTCTAAAAACATACTATCTATGTCTATGATGTTATAGCGTCAACATACTATTACTGTGCACACACCTCTCGTTTGTATCGTTATCCTTAACTAGATGATTGAAATGTATCCGCTCTTTTGATGTCAGTTATTGGTTGACGTCGAGCGCGCACAGCGTTTTCCAGTGGACGTTTGGCCAATGACCTGAGGTATGATCGCAGTCTAATCCTGAATATTCAATGGAGGTGACGCTTTGACGGCCAAACCAGTCTTTTGAGGGTGGATGTCGCCCGATTCTTCAGTCCCCCCGACCAAGTCGCAGTTGCGGAATCCGGATGACCCATGACGTCCGCTCTAATTGCACGTGGTCAAAAAAGGCAGTGTCAGCGTCGGATGTTTATACTCGCTGCTCTCCATCAATCATCACCTTGTTTGTAACCTCCGCGCGCTCATCCTGGTCCAAGTACCACTGTATTATCTTTCCAATATGATATTCCCGCCACCCTCACCAAAGATGGCTCGCAAGCTGCCGGGTAACGATATCGAAAACGAACACCAGCTGTCACCACCATTGTCTCCAAAGAGGTCTTTTGCACAGGACGGCTTTGATCCTGTAGACTCCAAGCGTCGTCATGTGCTTTTGGAGGGGCTCAACGGACAGAGCTTGCGCAGGCGAGTGCCGCTTGGTGAGTATGTCCCGCTCATGCAGTTTAGCTCGTTGGCTGGAATTCAGACGCACTAGATCCGCTAGCTGTGTCGGGCATGGAGGACAACTCCGGTTGCGACATGCAATGGGTAGACCCAGACTTGCATCTCTCCATACCTGCATCTCCCTCTTGTCCTGATCTCCGATCCTTCTCACAAGGAAAATCGTGGGGACAGCCATGCAGTGCCACCGGAAAATCCATGGCAGGCTCAGTTTACACATGGCCTCCGGCTGTCCAATGTGACAATGCCGTTCGGGGTCTTGTGCCCAGACGCAGTGGAGCAGGATACGATATATTGTGCTGCTCAGATGACTACCAGTTATCTCGATCCCCGTCCAGTTTACCCCTATCGGAGAACCTCATGCTGGATACCCCTCAAACGAAACATGGGTACCATTCCCGGTCTACACGTGCACGCACAAATTCCTCTGCGTATGTCCGCTGTCCGCCTGGTGATCCCCCGCAAGCTACGACCGCAGAAGACCCCCTAATTGGCGACATGGCCTCTCCGCCGCTGCGATTGGTGCGCAGGACCCGTCGAAAACGACGGAAGTTGTTTTTCGTCTTCGCCAGTGTCTCCACCTGGGCTGTCCCCTTACCGCCCCAAGCTGACGCGCCGTAGTTCGGACACCAATCTCATTGCTAGTGGCTCGGTGTCGTTATCCCTTGCTTCAGGAACGCAGCCATTGCATACTTCAGAACAGCCAAAATCCGTCCCACCCATTGGCGCTGAACGTAGCAGGGTGATGCGCATAATATCTAGTCGTTCCTCAAGCGAGAAATCTAGACTGTCATTCACTCGAGATTTACCCACCCATGACCCTTCTTTTTATCTTTGGTATCCACCTCTGCAATCTTCTAAACTAGGGATCTATATCGAAACCATTTTTGGAGAACGAGAAGTCGTTTGACAGTCCCACGCATAACCCACTACAGTCGGTCCCAATCTCGCAGGAAGATTTCTAGTCGACTCTTACGGCAGGCGACAAATAATAGATTTGCATCCAAGATTTTCTCTCCCTTAAACCCTCTCCGTAATTCTACACCTCCCTTCCATCTTGCTGCCTGACCCCACGTATATCTCGCACATGCCGTCCTTGACATATATGCCGTCGCTTCGGTACACGCAGAGTCCTGCCTCACGAGTGCGAACGTATGTATTGTTCCTTCATCCGACACCTGCTCGCACTGTCTGACATCCCTTCTTGCACGCCCCAGTGCCTGCGACATTCATCAATCCTCCCGTTTCGAGGAGGTATGCACGCACTGTCAAGAGTGCAAACGAGATTCGGTCGGAAAGCGTCTCCTGGCGTTTAAATATCGCCAAAGCTCCCTGCAAAAGCATCGCTCGTACGACTTCGGTCTCCCTATTCCTGGGCATGTTCCGTTGGACATGCTTGGCGGATTCGACTGCGACGAGCGAAGCTTGTGGGACGAGGTGGCAGCTGTCACCCCTGCAGAGCCATTCTCCCGCAATGGCTCTTCTACCGCCTTTGGCGGCTCCACAGGACGCATCCTAGACACCCACGCATTCGAGGACGACTTCCCGGAAGTCCCAGATGAAGATATGCTCACGCACATGTCTCTTCGTGAGGTGTCTGTTTACTGAACAGAGGACTGGTCCGTAATTATCCCCGATCTACCAATATGTTAACAAACCATTGAACCCTTCGCTGTGTTGCAACCGACGTAGAAACAAGTGTACTGTAATTGCTCACATATACACATGATCTTAATGTGTTATTCATGGAGCATCTTTTTTGGTATTTAATGCGCTTTTCTTCAGATGTACATACGTGTATGTACGGAGGTGGTACAGGTGTGATGAATAAAAAATGAAGAACTACATATGACTGCAAAATCTCAGAAGAAATTGTACTCCCTGGCGAGTGCAACCTTCCTAGCCGGCTCCACATCCGCAAGTACCCCATCCGCGCGGACCTCGTAGCTCTCCGGATCAACCGACATCTTGGGCAATGCATTGTTCCATTTCATATCCTTCTTCTTGACGGAGCGGCAATTCTTCACGGGTGCAACACGCTTTGTGAGACCATACGACACAGCAACGTTGTGGTCATAGGCATGCTTGGAAACGAAGGCGTAAGAGTTGCCGGCGGCCGATCCAGGGAAGGAGCCCCACATTGGGCGGCCGTAGGTAGGTTGGACTGTTGGTATAGAGGCGTTGGCGTCTCCCATCTGTTGAGGAAAGTGTGAGCGATTGTGTGCTCGTGCCGCGCTTTGTGTAGTGTGGAGAAGTAAATACACGCCCACACACTGGTTGCGAATTCGGCCACGCCTTCGGTATGACAATGACGTGTCACACGTGCGGGCGTGATCCGACATCACCGTAAATCAATGGAGGCGCAAAGGGCGGAAAGGAGATCCAACGGAAGGCCAGAACCAATCGGAGAAGGATATAAAACGCACCTGCGCCCAAGCTATGACGCCAGATTTGAGGATCATCTCCGGCTTCGCGCCGAAGTTTTCGGGTTTCCACAAAACAAGGTCCGCGACCTTGCCAACCTCGATCGAGCCCACATAAGAGCCGATACCGTGCGTGATCGCGCTGTGGGAATCACATGCGTCAGGTATCCATCAACACTAAGACTTGATCAAGTCATAGTTTCGGACTGAAGTGGTGGATGGGGAGAGGGGAAAAAGGTGCCAACGTCAAAGAGTGGAAGGACAGGAGAACTTACGGATTAATCGTATACTTCGCAATGTACCTCTTCACCCTCCCATTATCACATTCGTCGGTGTCACCAAGCTCCGTTAATGGACCCCTGAGACTCCTCAGTTTACTGGCAGTGCGCCACGTCCGCGTGACAACCTCGCCAACACGTCCCATCGCCTGCGAATCGGAGCTAATCATAGAGATGGCGCCCACTGTCGTGCAGCACGTCTTCGGCTGCGACAGTCTCCTGCTCGGATGCGCGACTCTGCAAAGGCCAGGTCTTCTGGGATGGATTTGTCAAGGTGGTGGCAGACCATTAACATCTTATAGGGAGGGAATCAGAGAATGAGTAAATAGGTCATGATGCAGAGCTCTTACGTCGAGGTGTTCATCGAGGGTATTGGTGGCGTAAGGGCGGGTTGGGTTCGTAGACGACGGAAGGACATTATTCAAACCACAGACAACGATGATATCTGGGGCATGACCACCACCTTACGTTGAATTCGTTCAGAAAGCGAAAATTAACGTATGAGAAAAGCACACACCAGCACCCTCGGTGTGATAAGTGTGAATGGTACGTCCCCCAAATGCCTCAATCGTGCCTGAAAAAATGAATGATTCATACGAACGAAAAAACATGGCTACCCACTCTCCACGAATCCACTCTCGTTCAGAGTATCCGTGTGGATATTTACCTGTCCATCATAGTCCTAAGAACCGTGCGAAATCCTGCAGGAAGAGGACACGTATACCTGTACGTCATAGCGATCCGCTACATCCAAACAAGCATTAATTGCAGCGGGGGTACTTCCCCAGTCTTCATGTAACTTGAGCCCAGCCGCGCCCGCTTTAATGATTTCTTCCATTTCAGTACAGTGCGAGTCATTTCCCTTGCCGGTAAACGCAAAATTCATCGGTAGACCATCCGTTGCAGCGAGCATATGCTTGATATAAAATGGACTTGGCGTACACGTTGTTGCATTCGTACCCGCGCTCGGACCGGTCCCACCTCCGATCATCGTCGTCGTGCCAGCTGCGAGGGCTTCTGTAACTTGTTGCGGACAGATATAGTGCACATGGGCATCGATAGCGCCCGCTGTGACGAGTAACTTTTCGCCGGCAATGACTTCGGTCGAGGAGCCAATGACAAGGCGAGGGTCTACTCCATCCATCACGTCTGGATTTCCAGCTTTTCCAATACCAACGATAACGCCTTCCTGTACACCAATGTCTGCCTGGAGTACATAGGCATATACACTGTGTGGAGAGGGATTCAAAGAAGACCTACCTTGTAAATTCCGCTCCAATCAACAATAACCGCGTTTGTGATTACGAGATCAAGGGCTTCCTTGCAGCCCGCGTCTTCCTTACAGTCCGGCACCTTACAGCCCACCTTCTGGCCCATTCCATCCCGAATGGCTTTACCTGCAATAATTCATGAATGCTGTAGCAGGTAGACATTCCAAACGAGGTCACCTCCGCCGAACTTGACTTCGTCGCCATACACGGCCTAGAAGTTGTGTAGTTGCCACCAACCCACATACAATGAAATCGGATGCAAAACGAGGATACGATAATACCTACCGAATCTCTTTCGATCTTGATCCACAAGCTTGTATCACCAAGCCGGATACGGTCGCCAACTGTAGGCCCAAACATTGAAATATACTCCTCCCTACCCATATCAGTGTCTTCATGCACCAAAGGTGCATCTGGCTCAGGCACATGCGTAAATCCCTTGAGCTTCTTTGTGTCGATTAGCTCAGAATCACCGCACATCAGATCGATCGCAATGATAGGGCTGATAATGTTCCCCCCTTTGGGACATTTCTCACCGCTAATAGAGCACAGTGTAACGGTCTTAGTGTCTCCAGGCTCGAAGCGTACAGCCGTGCCTGCGGGTATGTCGAGTCGTTTGTGAATAGCCTTAACGCGGTCGAATGCGAGAGCTTTGTTCGTCTCGGGGAAGTGGTAGTGCGAGCCGACCTGCACGTGTTAGTTGCAGTTAGGTACTCTAAAGCTAATTCGATGAGCGGATGAGGAATTTACTTGGATGGGTCGATCACCGTTATTAGTGACTTTGAGTTTTATACGTTCCCGCCCACGGTTAATAATAATGCGCTCCTTCTTGGCAATGATCGCACCCGGGAGGCTCTCTAACAAAATTTGGGAAGGGGGGAAGGCATCGCGGGAAGGAATAGGCAGGAAGGAGCCATACAGAGCTGCCTCCAGGTCACCGTCATCCGTGCAGATAGGGTCGTGCACAGTCACCAAGAAGACACTGAGTGTGGGATCGTAAGCCACAAGCTACATCAGAAACAGACAATTAGCGAGCTAACACTAACCCATCATGGAATGTCCCCTCCACTTGGATGTCATGGAGCCGGGCCGGCACACTCGGGAGGACATGTCTTCTGCCCAGGAGGGTCTTGCCATGTTGCATGAGCTCTGCGACCGAGTGTTTACCATCTCGAATACGCTCCTGCAACTGTGAAGCAATGAGAGCGGTGGCCTCGTTGATGTTGAGTTGCAGTCCTCTTGCAAGACGCTTCTGGGCTAAGAAGCCAGCCTGTCGGAAGTACAATTACGATTACGGTGTTATTGTCTCCATTCGACTGCAAGGAGATACCTGGTGAAGGAGTAGCCTGTCCTGCTCCCGAGGAAGGATGTACATTGGCACTTTGGACTATGGCTACCTCTACTAATGGATGGCGATAGATAGATCACTGATAGTACGCGTGAGTATTGCCAGGAAGCGCTACGATAAGCAGTCTTCGGATAGGGCGCACAATCACGTGATAGTACGCTCCGCTCAACTCGGGTCGCGCGAAGGACAGGCGAGTACCAATCAGCGACTTCGGAAGACGAGCAAAGTCGCATGCTCGGTCTTCGTGCTAGCACGGTAGCGCGCCGCCCATAATTTCGTGAGTATTATTGTCACTGCTGGCAGCCTTCCATTTCGGCATCTTCCCATGTTCATAGGCGTTGTCAATGGTGTCCACCTCCAAAAACAGTATCTAGACTCCTGGTGTGTTCCATTTCAGTCACTCAGTCACCTTCCGCGGTGGAAGGTATGTGGGTGTCTTTTGTCCGATTGAACCTTGGAGAGAAATATGTACGTTGTTGTCGATCCTTTTGTTGACTTTGACAGCATGACATTGGCGGAATAACCACATTCTTCCGTTACTCAAGCAACAAAAAGGCACATCTCGTCACCTTCTGGTGTCAGAGTTCTCGCTGGTTCGCTATTTCTACATTTCTCACCAGCATATTGACTATCTTGGGCCGGGGCTTGCGTGGCTGTGTAGTCTTAGATCCGGGGGTTGTTTGCCGAGATCAGAATGAAATCTTGGGCGGTTATAGCTGTTGATGTTTTATAGCTGGCAGGGGGTGCTGCGCCTTGTTTCCTCTCCTCGGCACTGCTTTTGTTCCCCCTCCACCGCTCCTTTCTTTGTAAACGTTACACCGGGTCTCTCCTTTCCTACTTATGCCTCAACTCGACAACCCACGCAAGCGCACCTTTTCGTTCTCTGACCCCGTCCTGCCTCGCAAGTCATCCCGCATGTCCCTCCGTCGCACAGAGTCATTCCTATCGCTCTCGGACAGCTCCGATGACGAATCGGCCTCCTTTTTGCACCTCTCCTCAACGTCGCCGACCATCTCCCCTTACCCGCGCGCCGTTGTATACTCCAAAGAGCATCATAAACCTGGTCCCAGAACCAGGGCCGAATTCACTATTGGCTCATCGCAGCCCAATGCCACCCAGGCCAAATTGCCCCGGAAGCGTTTCGCGCAACCCGGAGGGCAGCGCCCCGCTTCCCCGGCCGCTCCTAAGAACATCGGCTTGCGCACCACCTCCCCCTTAGCCCCTGCTCGCAAGCTCCTTCCCCCCAGAGCCTCATTCCCGCGTTCGAAGCCAGAACCAGACCTCTATCGCTTCGCAATAAAGACCCGAATGGCCCACTCTCCTGAAGGCGAAAAGATCCTTCGCATGGGACCCAGGCTGGCAGTGGCTATGTTGACCGCGACGAGGGAGCTTGAGCGCATTGTATCTGCCGCTGCGGATGACGACGATTCTATTATGGATGATGACCCACTCCTAATGCCACCCGTAGGCGGGCGGCATTGGCGGGTTGTTTCGCATGGACAAGAGGTGCAATGCGGGGCGTGACGCGCTGACGTATGTAACATTACCCCGAACCTTATTCCACCTTCCACCGACTCGACCCTGATTTCCATCCTCCCTCCCTCTACCCGTGACGACGTCTAACGTCAGTGACGTGACACGACGCCTGACGACGGAACGGAAGTGCATGAACATGTATTTATCCCGCAAACACCATCACACTTGCAAGCTCGACTCATCAGGACTATAGCTTGGAATTGGTTCTTGTACTCTATTTAAATATGCGATTCAGCTCTTCACCATCGTTCGTCTTTCATATGTCTTATTCTTTGTTTTGGCCCTGGCTTCGGTTTCTTGTGCTACATAACTTTTGAATGGGGGATCTTGTATCTATCTCCGTGCACATTTGTCTTGCACTTGTATCAGTTCATTTCCAATCTTCACGACCTAGCTCACCCTACCGACGTGCCATCCAACTCCGACGCTCTCTTCATTTAGTTTCGTCTCATAAAGGATTTTTCATGATCCATCTTCCCATGCATTTATTTCATATCCCCACCTGTCCATCACTGATTCGTCTTCGTTGATTACCCCTTTGCGCCGCAGCATACCACTCGTTCTCACACATACCCGTCGATGCCATCAATGAAATTGAAACACTGTTGCACTGCTGTAGTAAACTACTTTTCACCGTGCCTTGATCTGTGACACGGGCTCCGATGAGTGTGTCATGTCCGCTTCATAGGATACACCCGGAGTGAAAACGGATCAGTGACAGAAAGCCGAATCCCTCGGTGCGTAGATTCGGAGGAACAAAGTAAGCGCCATATCCAGCCTCCTTTCAAGTACTGTCACTATGTGCAACTTTGAGCTGAAGCCTGTCGGAGCTTGTCACTTTAACTGTAAGGGACATGCGAGGCAGCACGTCGCCTCCGAGGATTTATGATAGACTCATCTGACTCGGCTACGACTCAAAAGTACAAGTGAAGAGTCTAAATCGTACAAGCACTAGGAACGGGACCGCAACTTGGATGACAAGACTAAGACGCCAAGTGCCCAATGCTCGAACTGTTCCTTGGATACGAATAAGAGAGCTTGGGAAAGTACAGCTTTGATTATTTGAGCTGACATTCCCTGTCAAAAGTGTCAGTTTAAGCTTGCGTCGATCATGTGCTCGACGTCGTCAAGCGGTAAAAAATGAAAAAGTTTTAAGAGACGGAAACAAACGAAATAGAGAAAAAGGAAGGTGAAGACGAACCTGGTACCAACCCACTACCCCTTCCTTCTTCAGGACTTGCATCAGCAGAGTCAACGCCCCTGATTGTTTAGCGCGTCCGCGGGGATGCTTCTGTGACGAGCCCCCGAGGTGTTTCTCCACGTCATCTATCCGATCATCACGATCCGCAAACTCGTCCCTGTCGGAACCAGATGTACGGGCTTGAATACGAACTTTAGCCATGATGTAGGGATAGGTGACCTGCACAGCATTAGCTCGGTGTTGGCGCTCACATCAGTTTCAGACAGCGCCGACCTCGGCGTGTTAAACCTCCGCCGACACGCAACGCTCACCGCGGGTGAAACGCCAATCAAACACATCCAAACCACAAATCGATCTGCTCGTATATCCGAGCAAAAAGGATAAAAACAAGTTTCGCTCACAATAGTTGCCAACGTTTTGCTGAACGCCCCCAATATGAAACTCATCCACGGCGTCATCTTTTCACCTGCCACAGCTGTTCCCTTAGCGAGTAGGAGTATGGTCTTCAGCCGCTCGTACACGCCATATGTGATCGCCGGGTTGACGGTGAGTACCATGCTTGGCTTGAGACCACGCCAAAGCCCTGTGATCCCGTCCTCGCGGATAATCTCACGTGCGACATTCAAGAACGAGTTGGAATCTTTATCATCTTGCAATTCCTCGGTTTCTGCGACGCACAGCGTCGGTGCGTTCAGATCGTATGGCTGACTTTCGTTATCTCCACTGTGCAGGAGAGAGTGGGACCCGGCACCCTGCCTCAACGACTTCCCAATCTGTTGGCGAGTAGCGATTACAGAGACGGGAATTGTGAAAATCTGAGAGAGAGCGCCGGCGATAGCGCCGAGGGTGAGTTCAGCGGCCGTCGAAAGAGAGGGCGGCTTTGAGCCTTTGGGAAGCTTGGACGTAAGACGTTTCGTGTAAGCAGTGCGTATCAAAGAGTAGAAGAAGAAATAGGCATATTCTGGGTCCATATGGCCGACACTGTCAGGTAATGCATTTCAGGGGGATATGGGTAGCGCGTACGTGAGGAAAACGTATTCAACATCGTTGCTGCGAATCCGCTGTACCATCCCATAATACCCTCCTCACGGAGTATGTCACGGAGTACAGATAGCATCGTCATATCATCTTTGCGCTTGCCCTTGGCTGTCGAAGAGGTAGCTTGAATGCGGGTTTTCGCACTGAAATACGCGGGAGCGAATTTCTAGCTATAAACCCAGTAGAAGAGCAGAATGTACGCACACGTCTAGAGGGTATACAACGCTGAAAAAAGTAAATTGAATAGGTATCATAAACTTGAGACAGAGCGCATACTCACGCATTGCTGAAGCACCCACCGAGCGCACCCGCCAAAGCAGAGCCGAGCGGTGTCAACTCCTGCGGTAGGTTATTAGCCTGCTTTGACTGTACCGACATATGTGTCTCGTTCTGTGGAAGCTTTTCTGAGTTGCGAAACGTTTGATGTACTATCCCACCGGGTTCGAAGCTTCCAACCGGCCACTGCCATCGATATCACATGAAACTACTGAGCGCTACCAGTGGAAACTGGACAAATGCATATCTAGGTAGACAAATGTAGTACTAATTGCCAACTATTGTTTGTATGTATTGGTATGTGTTGCTACGCACCTAAGGGCCTGAATGGTAGCGAAATCTCTGCTTCCTTATGCAAAACATATACAAACCAAGTCTGTGCGGAGTTCAGCAGACTTCCAAGTTGATAATCACAGACTATCTGTGACTGTGGTGTCTACTGATCAGGTGATGACTCACAGTTACCCACATATGCATAGTATGATATGCCACCTTGATGAGCTGACCATTATTGCAGGCTAGATCATTCCCTGTCCCTAACTTGCTCCTCACTTTGACTTTGCAGCAAGATGGAAGGTAGGGATTCTGGGTCAAAGGGAAAGGCCCCATCAATCAGTTCAAGCTCTGAGCCTCAGGGAAAATTGTGAGCTGTATGGCCCCATGCAGATGTTGAGATACTTCTTGATTTTGTGGAGGAAATCTGACCCAAGGCAGGTGATCATATGGCCTTTCAAGCAGGGCACTTTAATGATTTAGTACCTTTGTTACCTGTCCAACCCAATGGCTACTGTAAAACCACAAAAAACTGCCAGGACAAGTGGGAAAGTGTGTGTTGATTGATTTATCCTTGCATTCTGTATCACTCATCTCATAAACAGCTGAAATGGGATTATTATGCAGCTTCAGCTGTGGCAGGGGGATTGGGGCTTGCATATTCAGCAGCAAAAGGTGCTAATGTCATAACTGAGGCAGGGCAACTTGTGATGGATGATATTGTCAATGTATGTCTGGGATTTTCTCATCATGTGGTGTGCAAATCCTTGACTGTCCACTAGAATTGACCAGATACTGCCCAGTACTGCAACACAGGCTTCAAATACTTCAATCATATGTGAGACTTTGTCCTTCCTGACAAGGCAAGGGGCACCAACACACACCATGCCACCTGTTCCTGACCCCCTGCCCAAAGGTCCCAGGCTTCCACATCCACACCATCCAATTTTCCCCCCATGCCACCAATGCAAGCCACATTACAGTTTACCTTTGTGCTGTATCAACCTGGGTCTCCTGATCAAAGTCAAATTATGCTGACTCCTCAGACAGTGCAGCCTGCTGTAAATGCTCAGGGTATGCCTCTACCACTAGGTGTTTTGCAGGCCTGGTCTGGTGTGCCACCCATACTCCTACCTGACCCCATGGTCTCCCCTTCATCAATTCCCACATTGCCACCATCTTCTGTGATGACATCAGTAAGCACATCCATCAAACTTTCATCCAGCTTGTCATCTCATGGCAAGAAGCAGAAAAGTGATGCCACTGTCAAGCTTGACACCACATCCACAACAGCTTCCAGGGGAAGTTCTTCTGGTTCTTGAAAGTGGTGCTCACAGACAGCTGGCCTTGAAGACATGGTGCAGGATCTCATGACTGGTGTGCAAGATAATGTCACCAAGATGCTTGCTGCTCTCAACCAATCCAAGAGCCAAGATCTAGATGAAGTTTGTGCACTGATGTTTGAGCTTGAGAAGAACCTTTCAGAGCAAAACCTGGTCTGCTTGCAAATGCTATTTGAAGAGAAACCTTCCTATGTCACAGGTTACAAGAATGCTGCTGCTCACTCACCAACATACAGAATGTTTTGGGTCAAGATGAGGCTTGAGGCAGTTGGCTGTGAGGTTCCAGAATATGCAGGAATGGGGGGGGGGGATAAGTAGTCTATCTGTACCTGTGCCATTACACTGTAGTCAATGCTGTAGTTGAGAATCACAATGCAAAGGTTGAGTCATGATGTTTGGGAGCAGTAACATTCACAAGAGAGTTGTGAATACAAGGTATGCGATACAAAAAATATGAAAACCACAAATGGCTGAATCAACCATGCCTCACAAGCTCAGCATGATAGTCCTCCCACTGTTATGCCTGAGTGTGGTGACTTCTTCAAATGGAATAGGCATGAAGCATGTGAGGGGGAGTCTACAGGGTGAACTTATTGTAACCCCTATGGCTCAGTTATCCTGAAAGTCTGACAAAGGTTCTGTCTGCTGGCAAGTCCCTAAGGTTGTTCATGGAGGGAGAGAACAAGGACAAGTGAGAAGGAAGTTAGCTGAGTTGCAAGCTATCAAAAAACTGAGGATACACGGTAAAGTATGAAGAGTTATATACTCCTAAGTAAGAGTACCATACCAGTTGCAACATGTATCCACAGTAGTCAACAGAACAATCAGTGAAATAAATAGGAGTCATATGGTGTCATCTGATGGGGTAGGGAGACAATGAAGGCTATACTGGCCAGTGCAATCAATGTGCAGTGAGGAGCCTGACACTGGAACTACTATACAACATCTGGGCAATAAAGACAAGTCAACCGGGACAAGAAAGAAACAAGTTGTCCATCAGAGAGGGCAGTGGAACACTGGATCAAATAAGGGGCACAGTCTCGACAGGTATTGGAAATACCTTGACAGCTGGAGATCCGAGTGACCCTTGGAGCATATGGGCCCCTAGGATGGCAACAACCACAAGGGATGCAATGAGGCATGTGATACACGTGACCACAACAAGATGAAAAAGGGAAGAGCCCCAGGCGAGGCATAACATCACCCCCCCTCTAAGGTCCTCAGACCCTTGAGGATGAGGCAGGAGCATTGGAAGAGCAGGAGGCAAGGGGTTGGCGAGTAGTATACATGCAGGAATGTGTGCGAGAGGTGACAGGCAATGATGGTGATGGAGAGACTGGTTCCTTGAGGGCCAGAGTAAAGCAGGAGCCATGTCCGTTGCGACACAACCAATGTCCCAGGTAATGACATTGGTAGCAGGTGTGGGGGCGCAAGGAATGCCCATCCAGGATGGGGGACTGCCCTCCAAGGTAAAACTGCAATTGATCTGAAGGGATGGGGACAAAGGGAGATGCAGGGAGAGGGTCAGCAGAATGGATGGCATTAAAGTAGTTCCTGTGGATCCCAGCCCATGAAGCATCCTGCAAAAGTACCTCCCAAGCAGAGTTGTGAGTCCCAGTCCCAAGTTGGGAACCAACCTCTTTAAACAAGTCACTTGAGTCAGCAAACCTTAACTTGACCACATGCCAAGCTTTCTCCTTCTCCTGATCTGAAACATCTTCTTTGATCTTCCCAGAAGCCAATGGTTCCTCTTGCTTCAGGCGAATGCGATCAAGAAGTTGCAAAGCTGGTGGGGCGAGAAGCCTGTCATTTTGGGAAGTCCAGAGATGATGATAAGCACCACCTGTTACTGCCTCAGTGATGTCCGAAGAACCCCTCTCCATCATGTCAATCATTATTACCTCTGAAAGAGGGGCTGTCCCTGCTACCTTGCAAGTGCAAATCTTTGACATGGCTGTGTTAACTAGGTCTGTCGCTCAGTGGATCTGAGACAGCAGCCTAAAATATTCAACCTGTTCTGGTGAGCACCCATCAATGTTGTCCCCATCATGGAAGATGTCAAGTGCCCAAACAACATCCAGGTAGTCACCTGCTGTGATTGGTAGTCACAGCTGGTCATCCCTGGCAACAGCTGCACTTGTGAGGAGGTTGAGCATGGTGAGTTTGGATCTGCCAGGGTAGCCACTGAAGGCAGTGTGTAAGTAGGGAGATTCAGAAGCATGGGAGGGATTCTTGTTGGTGGTTCCACTGTCAGGGTCATCATTAGCATGTGCCTTACCCTTTGCTGATCAGTTACTGTCCCCACTTGGGGGGACTCTGGCCTCCGGGGTGGGGACATGGCTGACCAAGAAGCCCTGGAGTGGATGTGGTCCATGAGCCCTGGGGACAGGGGGTGATAATGAGCAGGGCTGTGACACAGGCAATGAGTATCCAGAGACATAAAAGCCAGTGGGGGATGTTGGAGGTGAGGTTGGGGCATAGACAGTGATGGGTGGTATGACCCCATTGTCAATGGGGTTGTAAAGGGATTTGGGGATGGTGAGGTCAGCATAGTCATTTTCAGTGTTAATGGAGCGAGGCAAGTCCATTTAGTTTCTGAGGTGTCGAGCGAGTTTGTACTGGGAAAGAGCTTCTGACATGTGGTCTTTTATATGTTCTTCAGGTTCCCAGGTATTGGACAAATGTGGGAACCCTTTCCATTTGACCAAATATCGTCATTTACCTCTGTGTCCATCCATTTTGTGATTTATTATTGATTCCACCTCCCACTTGATCTCATTGTCAACCATTTCTGGTAGTGGGGCTGTGGGGGCAGTGCCATAAGTGTTGTTCTCGGTGAAAGGAAAGATCCAGGAGGCATGAAACACAGGATGAACCTTCCAAGTTTCAGGGAGTTCCAATTGGAAGGCAACCAGAGACACCACCTGAGTCACTTTGAAAGGTCTGAGACATCAGGGCACAATCTTGTTGCACTGGTTCTTGATGCAAAGGTGCCCAGTATCCAGGAACACTTGATCTCCAACCTTGGGCATGACATAAGACCCTTTTGAGTGTGAATGCATGAGGTCCTGTGCCTTCTTGTGCACAAGTATGGCAACATCTCAACTTAAGGCCAGCCTTTCCAGCCTTTCATCAACTGATAGAATAGGAGTAAGTCAGATTTCTGGATAAGGGGAAGGCTCATATCCAAGCAAAAGCAAAAAAGGGGTCATTTGATGGACAGAATGAACCCTGGAGTTGTGAGTGAACTTGGTGGAAGGAAGCTTAGCTGCCCAGGAATTTGGCACTTTGGTGCAATACAACCTGAGATATCCCTCCACTTCTTGATTAACATGTTCAGTTTCTCCATTGGTCTGTGGGTGGTATCCTGTCAAAAGCTTAGTCTTCACCCCTATCACCTTATAGAGTTCTTTCATGAATGTGGAGGCAAACTGTGGTCCTCGATCTGAGATTACCAACTCTGGGATCCCAAAGTGGGAATAGACAAATTGATGGAACAACCGGGCAACTCTGACATGAGTCTATTGTTTTGTGGCATGGAATGAACAGGGTGGCCTTTGTCAGCCCTTGATCGACAACCAGTGAGAATTGAGTCATATTTTTGTTCTCCTGATACTGGGAGATCAGTGATGAGATCCATAGATATTTGTTGAAATGGAAACATGTGGTCTTAGGGGTTTCATGGGGGACAACTGGGGGTGTCGGTGGATGTGTGATG